CATGTCCTGCGAGAGTCCTTCATTCACAGGGTTCTTATGACCCTGACTCACACGCCGTGAGTCATGTCGTGAAGTTTCCACATGATGATGAGAAGCGAGTGACACGAACATATATTCCAGTGTGTGTTTGTGTGTGTGTGAGTGCGAGGATTGCGTGTGTAAGTGAACTTTGACAACGTCTCCCATTCCCGTTCCTTCTCATAATTGTTAACGGGTGCGGCTCGTTAAACTGTTCGTCTGGGGCAGTGAATTAGGCTAGTCAATCCACCCCCCCTTTTTCTCTGTGTTCTCTGTGTTCTCCTTGGGATGGATCCCTTGTCCCTGATGTGTCACAGAGCTGTGTCACCACCACCCGTGCTAGGGTGGGGGGGGGGATTAAACCGTGCCTGTAATTTGTTTTCATTGCATTTATACGCCACCATTGTTACGACGCCAGAGATTTATTTTTAATCAGTCTGGTCTCGGCTGAAAAGTTCAAGGGAAAGACACAGAATAGCGTGCGGCCTACCACACAGGGTAGAGACGCTGGAGGAATATTGTGGGAAAACGAACGCATGATATGACTTGATTAAAAAATATATATATCAATTAAATGATTAGAGACAGTTACTGAGCCCAAGATGTGCCTCTTGTGACCTTTTGACTAACTCCCACAGGAAGGGCATGTGGTTCACTACCACCCACAGGATGGGTATGGGGGGTGGGTGGGTCTCCCTTCCACCCACAGAAAGGGCATGGGGGTACACTACCACCCACAGGATGGGTATGGGGGGTCCCTCTACCACCCACAGGATGGGTATAGGATCCCCTACCACCCACAGGATGGGTATAGGATCCCCTACCACCCACAGGAAGGTCATATGGAATCCACTACCCCACACACGATGGGTATGTGGGTCCCCTACCACCCACAGAACGCAGATATGACGTATAATAAATGAACCAAACTAAAAGCAGTTTAGTTCATTTATTATAGTACAACATGGGGGGCATTAAAGTAGACCCGGATATGCACACTGCATGACCATGGATATACTATGGGTGGACATACTCTTGCAGCTATTTAGCACGCTTCAACAAGGGAACTATTTTATATATGACTTGGTGGAGGGAACCTCGACACTGACCATCACCACGCCGCCTGCTACAACACTCAGCTGGTCCCGGAGAGACTTTGATAAACACTTTAGGAAAACATATAAGAGAACGCCATGGCAAATGTTGCGACACGTCTGTGCTGGCAAGGTTGGTACGACAGGGCTGACTGTGTGGCAAAGTGGGTATGACAGGGGGTAGCAAGGTTGGTATGGCAGGGGTTCTCTGCGTCAGCGAATGTTGCCAGTGTCAGTGAAGGTTGCATGACTTAAGGTCAGCAGCCAGTGTCAGCCAGTATTGCATGACTAAGGTCAGCAGCCAGTGTCAGCCAGGGGTTGCATGACAATGTCAACAGCCAGTGTCAGCGAGGGGTCGCGCGCCAGAGTCGACAACCACGAAGAAGGAGCCTAGCATGACACAATACGAGAGGAAACACAAAGACCCTAGCATCTCCTCCCAGAGCATTGCATATTATCATCTTGCAACACAAGATCCTTCCGCCTCTGGATATTAGCTCCGCCACGCTGACATATCGGGGGAATCGTTTAAAAGCTTTCCATTTCCTGGGGTAATTATCAGGAGAGAGCACTATAGGACAGTATGGCTATATAGTACTTGGAAGGGATATGACAAGATAGGAGCTGGGTAAGCAGGACGGAGGAAAGGAACGGTGCCCAACCACTTGGACCATCGGGGATCGATCGCCGACCCGCAACGTGGCCTATTAGTTGAGATGACAATCACCCAAACGTTCCCGCGGGACTCATTATTGACGAAGGGACGGCTTTAGAGGCAGCGAATTATTTACAAAATCTCACTCATTTTAATTATTTCTTGTAGTTTTCAGTAATTATTATATGGACAGCCTGCGCACGCGCGCACACACACACATCTCGACTAACTTACTCTCACACCCTCCCCCACACCCACAGAGCCAGAGGGACCAAAGAGCCAGAGCTCAACCCCCCCCCCCCCCCGCAAGCACAATTAGGTGAGTACAGCCTTCCCCCACACCCACAGTCTTCCCACAAGTGTAGTCTGCTCTGCTTTCACCCCTTCCCCTCCCCCACACCCCTCCCTTACTATCACTGGTAACCCCCTCCCCCCTTGGCTGACCTAATGCAGGTATCCGGGTGATAGCCTAGTCACTGGGCATCCACCACCCACTACTTCCGCTTCCACAAGGTTCGTCTCCCATGGGTGATGCACCACTACGCATCTAGTCATGTTTGTATCACTGGACTCGTTGTCTCGCTGGCCTCGTCTTACTGGTCACGGAAGAACAGTTAGACAGGATATAAAAAATTATGAGGGCCACGGGGCGCGCATTTTTGGCCAATGCTCTACCCCACCCGTCTTGCGCTTATATTTAAGCCACTTCTGTGTGTGATGTGCATGGCCTCCAGATACTTCCCCAGGAAGAACCTTCCCTCCTACCATGTATAGCATTCCTGCGTTATCATCTGATAACGTTCTGAATAACCTTCTTTTGTACCCTCTCATCAGGTTCCACCCCTCACCCGGGTCTAACAACAGATTGATACTGAAGTTCTAAGTGTGTCTGGCTATATAACCATACACGTGGCAGCTGTACGCGTGCACGTACTTGCCTGTTGAGCCTCGAAACACGTCCATTCCACAAGGCCGAAGGGTAATTGCGGGTCAAGTAGGGTCATCTCTGACGCTGAATCACTCTCTTCCGGGGCGTATTGTGAGTCACAGGAGACGACTTGGAAGATAGTGGGAAGGAGGAGGAGGGGGGAGGGAGGATCGGGCGAATGAACCTTCAGATAAATGGCATCCTATACATACCAACTAACGTACGTACCTCCATGTACATTCTTGGCATCGGTCTTTGGTTTTTGTTGCAGCTTTGTAATATCTTTGTTTGAGGCTAGGATAGAGGCACACTTGAGGACCAGGAGGGTAACATATATGCGTGTGTGTTGCCGGGTACTGACCAAGGCAAGTATAATAGTGGGCTGACTCATCCTCATCCCTGTCACCGCTGTTGCCGTTTGTCAATTCTGTCATACGTCTCGGATAACGAAACTGGGTCCAGCCCGGTTGCATCTATTCTCTATTGGAACTAGATTTTCAAGTATTAACAATACAAATCATTCGAGAACCCCGAGTGAAGCGAAGCAGAGCGTGGTTGCTGGCGGTGATTAAGAATGAGTGAGATGGTAACGTGGTTGACAAGCTAATGTGGCGTGTGGGCTGGGCGGTGTTCTGTCAGGTGGGGTAGTGGTGGTATGCGGGGGCGGGTGAAGGTAGCCACCGGTACGCAGGGACTGGGGGTTATGATGATGTGGGCGGAGGTGGGGATGTGTGGGTGTGATGGAGGAGTGCGGGCGGAGGTGAGAATGTGAATGGGTGTGGGTGGATGGGGGGTTGTGATGGGTTGTGGGCGGTGGGGGAAGGAAAGAATGTGGGCGGTAGGGAAGGGTGTGGAACGAGAGTGGTGTGGGCGGAGGTAGCGACAAGGGTGGGGCCCTATACATGCCAGAGTTGGTCCTTTGTGTTCATATACTGACATGACACCCGACAGCTGGAGCTCTGAATGTTATTTTAGTTGAAAAATCACTTTTCCTATTTCCGCCAGCTTGTATGTACACATGCTGTGTTTAACAAAACCATATAAATGTTACATCCTAGAGCCCTCGATTAAGTACACGTCTCTATAGTATTATAATAATACATCATTTGGTCGTTACGCTAACCATTCAGAAGTGTTGGTACAAAGAGTTGACTTCTTGTACGGTTCACTCTACGAGTCTCGTTTATTTTGGAGTACACAGCAGTGCTGAGGAGTGAACTTAGTGCCCATGAGCATAACATCCTGTTAGTGAGAGAGAGAGCGCTGCTGGCGGGATACGCCAGCTATTCTCACCACCCCTATTTAAACAAACCACTATTCTTGCTCCTAGCTGAAATCATCTTTAGCGTATGTATGGTGATTTTTGTCAACAAACAAATATATTTTGTATTTAAAATGATACAGCGTTATTTGTTCTTTGCGGTGTGTGACATGTGAGTAAATTGGTTATCTTTATTACCAGCCTTTGTATCAAATGGTAAGATTATTATTATTATTCTACCACAGACGTGGCCACACATTTACAATGCTAAGCAGCATATATACATTTTCTTCTGTCCTCCATGGACAGGGTGAGAGATTTGTCAAACATACAGTTCAGGGATTTATTGAACAATCAACCACAGAATATGATTGTAGTGCTTTTAAAATCCTAGGCTAAGCTACATACGTAAATACATAGATTTATGTATGCTAGAGATATAAGGAAAAGCCGTAAAGCGGGTGAGCCATAGCCTCGTGTTTCGTCAGGCGTGTATAGCCTAGCCAGTGTCAGGCGTGTAGCCTAGCCAGTGTCAGGCGTGTATAGCCTAGCCAGTGTCAGGCGTGTATAGCCTAGCCAGTGTCAGGCGTGTAGCCTAGCCAGAGTCAGGCGTGTATAGCCTAGCCAGTGTCAGGCGTGTAGCCTAGCCAGTGTCAGGCGTGTATAGCCTAGCCAGTGTCAGGCGTGTATAGCCTAGCCAGTGTCAGGCGCGCTCACACCGCAAGCCAACGTGTATCTCATCAGCGAGTATAAAAATTACATTTTATCAACGACAGATTCAAGTTAGCTCTCACCGTAATAGATATGAATACGTTACAAATGTATTTAAACACGAAAACGTTCGGAATTTTAGTTTCATATTTTTTTCTTCTGTGGATAACTCAGGATAGATTTAATAGCGTTTTTGTTTTTTGTGTCGAGTTCAGACTAGTCTAGGATCAAGCCTATGATCAATCATGCTATTATTATTACCCTTTTTATTATGGAAATAAATAATGCACGTGACATTTTAAGTTTGCACACTATGAAGTAGTATACACATACCTTGGTTTATATAACCGCTTCGAGCAAGTTATAGCTGGTATAAAATGATGAGCGAACACTGCGTGTCGGCGCTCGCGCAGGGGAAATGCCAGGTGAACAAGCGAGAGTGGTTTGTGCTGGTGGCAGATAAGGACTGGCTTCGCTTTGATGTTCAAAGGGTTTGGATAGAATGGGGGGAGGTAGAGATTGATGATTGATAAAGACTAAGCCACCCAAAAGATGGCACGGGCATGAATAGCCCGTAAGTGGTGGCCCTTTTGAGCCATTACCAGTATCATTAGCTGATACTGGAGATCTGTGGAGGTGCGACTGCACCCTGCGTGACGGGAGATGTCTCCCCCGTGGAGGTAGAGGGATGGGGAGGTGGAATCTGGAAGCTGAGTCGATTAAGGCAGCGTCTGGGATGCTCTCGGACGCAGGTTCGAATCCTCGTCACGGCCCTTGTGGATTTTTTCTGGAAGAGGATGTGGGGACTGGCCATAACTTGGTCCACGCCTTATGATGCGCGCATCGTAGTTATTATATTTGAACTATCTACACCTACGTTAGTTCTCCGAACGTCAAATCTGATGTTAGTTGATTTAACCTGATCAATCTCATTTAATTGCTTATGAAATGACAAAGTTATCTTGATCTGAAAATTATAAAATATTCATCGCAGTCATTGTGTGTTCAATGATAGTTCATGATTCATGTGATGAATGATGATTACAGGTGAACAACAGGTAAAATCAAGTCCCCCGAACACGTCCTTCTCCTCGCCCCTTCAACCGGACTTCCGCCGATACGAAACATTGGACTTGTCAATAAAACAAATCGTCTCTGCTATATGACCCCGAGATAACATGAACGAAGCAGATAAAACTTTTTCTTTAGTTCTCCCGTGAGTACAGTATTTAGAAACTGATTAAAAGCTAAACAAACACCCACCAAGCACATTAGTATGACATTGAGATATTCTCTCTAGCCAGGGACCAGGATCTGAAGCTCGCCCTGCTAGCACATATATGTGAATACAGTCCAGTCTTTCCAGCGCTCTGAAACACAGTAGTTTCAAAGCGTTATATGACAAAGAGTGCAGGGAAGACGGGACACCACAAGATTGTTTTGTTATTGTTGCAACCGAAGGCGGCTACTTTATTGCGCACCCCATACTCATCCTGTGAGCGGTAGCGCAAAAAGTATTACAGAGGGCACAAAAGGTCTTTATCAGACCTCATCTTAGATTATTACATAAACAATTTCATCTATCCTTCACACCTTATAGTTACAATGTCGGCTAGTTACAGAGAATGTTCTATTTCAATAGCTATATATTTATAGTAAGTATATTAGACTGCGCGCAGGATTCGTAATTCTGTGGCATGGGTTCGATTCCTGGCGCTGGCAGACAAATGGGTAGCTCCTTTCACCCTGATGCCCCTGTTACCTAGCAGTAAATAGGTACCTGGGAGGTAGACAGCTGTTACAGGCTGCTTCCTGGGGTGTGTGTGTGGAAAAATTTAGTTAGTAGTTAGTAACAGTTGATTGATTGACAGTTGAGAGGCGGGCCGAAAGAGCAGAGCTGAACCCCCGCAAGCACAACTAGGTGAATATACACACACACACACACACACACACACACACACACACACACACACACACACACACACACACACACACACACACACACACACACACACACATACACATTAGAAAGATTTTTTTCAGTGTCAGAGTAGTTAGTAAATGGAATGCACTAGGAAGTGATGTGGTGGAGGCTGACTCCATACACAGCTTCAAATGTAGATATGATAGAGCCCAGTAGGCTCGGAAATCAGTACACCAGTTGATTGACAGTTGAGAGGCGGGACCAAAGAGACAAGGCTCACCCCCCCCCCCTCCCCACAAGCACAAATAGGTGAGTACAAATAGGTGAGTACACACACACACACTATCACTAACTCCCCGGACATCCTATGCGGCTGAGCAACAATATAACCAATGAATGACACAACCTTGATGACTAAATCGTCGTTTCCCGATATCCCTTGCGATATCGCGAGGGATTTATCGTCGTTTCCCGATATCCCTTGCGATATCGCGAGGGATTTATCGTCGTTTCCCGATATCCATTTCGCGATATTTCCCGCGAAAATTGTTAGTAAATTTTGTTTAGTGACGAAATATGATGTAAAATTACAAGTCAATTTTAAGACAGCAAAGGTTTGAAGGTTATAGCAAATTCACACGTGTGCTATATGCTATATAAGGGGCAGATGCAAGTAACAATCCCATCATTACAAACAGAAATCACAATAACTTGATGCATCAAATGAGTCGTAGCTCAGTCGAATAAGGTAGCGTCTGGGATCCTCTCGGACGTAGGTTCGAATCCTCGTCACGGCCCTTGTGGATTTGTTCTCTTGAATAGTACTTTGCATTTTGATGTATACATCCCTTAAGATAAAAAAAAATGATTTACTAAAAATAGCAGCGGCACGCAAAATTGATGTGATGTCCCGTTTTCTATTCGTGAGTCGTCGGTTAGGTTAGGTTCGGGCAAATTTAGTACACCAGTTTAGTGACGTTGAGGACCGCCAGTCCTAATTATTGTTGTACTGTCACGTTTTCAAAAACTGGGTAATAGCAACTTCAGTATTAAGCATTCTTGTTAAGACTTGGGTATTATTAAGAGTAATTATCAAAAGAATGTGTATTAAAGAGGAAATATACCTAATTATTATAAAGATGAGTATTTTAACACTGATATTCATGGGTATTCATAGGAATACGTAAATACATTGTGAAGACACTTCCTATATCTGACGCACAAAGAACATCAACATGTTTATATTTGACGCACAAAAGAACATTAACATGTTAAACAGCCACTCCTTCCTCCACCTGGTCACATTATTCATGAGGTAAACCATAGAACGTCAACAATAACAGGTTATGTCTTGCGGTATACACTCACACGAAGTATTTAATGCCTCTACAACCCCGTCATCCCAACTTACACAAGTTTTTACCTCACAAGAATGAATTTGTATCTCTGTGATAGACTCTGTGGTATGTAAATGTCTACATTTCTTCTCTTAGTTGCAAGTTTTGCAGCTTCGTCTGCAATGTCATTTCCATAATCTCATTACAAAGTAAACCTATACACGTTAAACATACACCGTTGGGTCATGCATGCAAATGGATGGGTGAGAGGGGACAGCCTTGCGTTGACTAGGTGGAAACCTCATTAAAGTCTAACACACTTCCTGTCCCTGAGCACTGTATGGAGGCGCGCTACATGCTAACAATGTCTCTCAGAAATATTTGTATAGCAAGCGTTAAAAGTTTAATAATCCTAAACTATATAACTGATACAATGTAGACAAGATCAATGTGGTGAAAGATTCAGGTCTTTCTTGTTTCTCTCTCTGATGTAAACTATAGTACAGGAAGCTATAGTATTCTGTTTCAAGTTATGAAATCTCGGATCTGGTGATATGAGGCTTCGATCTTGTACTTGACAATATAATAATAATAATAATAATAATGATAATAATAATAATAATAATAATCTAAAAATACATGATTGCAGTACCAAATGTAATTACTGATATTTATATTTTTCATGGTGCCAGAAAAGGACGTATTATAGGGCAAAAATGCGTTATACGCATACACCAACTTTATTTTTTTTTAGTTTATATATATACCAACCACTGGTGCATCCACGCTCCGCCCCGGAAGTGCTTAACCCACTCTGCACTGATCATCACTGCCTCTTCTTTATTGGGCCGTTGAAAATAAACATACTACTAGCTTAGTTACACCAGTAACTTGCATGGGGATCAAACGTGTTGCTAGCATAGATGCGCAAGTGACTTGTTTGAGGAAGTCAAACGTATGATTAGCATAATTACACAAGTGACTTGTTTGAGGAAATCAAACGTATGATTAGCATAGTTACACAAGTGCCTTGCTTGAGGAAGTCAAACTTAATTTGCTCATCGGTATTTATCCTTAATAATTACTAGCGAACATAGTCCACGTGACCACTAATGCGTCTAACCTTGAGATCGGTACAAACACAAGCTCTTCAAGCATAAAGATGCAAGGGAGAACACAACCACGTGACTCTCATCTTAGTATATACAACCCTGAACTCGTCGCTACACGCACATATTGTCGTATTGATCAACAGTAGCTTACAAGGCTAAAAATGATCATGCTCCACCAGTGAAGAGACTGTGTTTCTTCTTGCAAGACTGGCGTTCGATCCCCCTTTGGTCCAAGTGGTTGGATATCGTTCTTTCACGCTATTCCCCATCTGGGAGAGGGTGGGGGGGGGGGAGAAATAGCCTAAGCTACTCTATCCCTTTGAGATGTATTTCTTTCGTGTCTCAATAAACATACTTGAACTTGAACTTAATCCCCCATATACCCCTAGTTTGTTTTCAAGTCCCAACCCTTAGTCTGTCTTTATATAGTCATATATCTCAGCTCTTTAGTGTGTCCTCAGAATCCCATCTTATTCTGTCCTCATTTCCTTTCCAGGTGCTCTATTCTCATACCTAGGGGGTGGGGGGGGGGGTAGAAATAGCCTACGCTACTCTATCCCTCTATGAGATGTAGTTTTTTTTCTTGTCTCAATAAACATACTTGAACTATACTCGTACTGGCTTAGCGCTTTCTTCTGACAATTATCTTACCTTCACCATTATACGACTTGTTAAGGCACATCTTGGCTAAATTAGGCATCCGGTAAAGCTGGACATAAAAGTAAGGTCTCCAATATGCTTACTGTTGGCCACTCGAAAGATCTTTCAAGGCGGCGGAAGTGGTCGCAGAAGGCGCAGCAGCAGCAGCAGCTGGGTACCCCAGCTGGAGCCAACGGAAGGTAAACAACCTTATCACCTGGGTAATGCCTCACCTGTGTCCGGTGTGGGATTGATGTTACTATGGCGCAAGTGGGCCGAAATGCTACACTCCACCACAAACTGAAATAAAGTAATGATTAATAATGTAAAAAAATATGAACAACCATATTAACTATCTACAGTATTAATATTTTATTTGTGTGTGTATGTGTGTGTGTGAATCGAGTGGTATGGTGGAATTAGTCGATGCTGTGTTCATAAAAATATGGTGATGGTTTTATTGACAAAAGCAGGAAGTTAGCCAAAAAATGCTATCCAGTAGCCACTATACACCCAGCACCATCAGCTTCCCCCTTCCTGCGGATCAAGCAGAAATGCATTGCAATATACTGATTATGCACTAGCAAAGTAAAGCAGATATTTATAACAAATACAATCGAAATTATGTAAAATAATTTCGTTTTCGAAAGTTGGTAAATTTTATCATTTCAGCATTTTTTAAGGTTAACGAATTAACTTCATAATAATAATATTTTATAAGATATACAAAAAAATATGTATAGAATTCGTGGTTACTTGGTTGGTACAATATTTGTATATTTTTTAATATAATGAATGAATAGTTTATATTCTTGTGAGACAATACTAATACCACATGATAAATAAGCTTATATATGAATGGGCATTAAGACATTTTAACAAGGTATATACAGTTTTCTAAAGTGATAATGATGAAAGGCATTGGCAACCTTAATTTAAATTATGTAGCTTTATATGTAAAAAATAATAACTACGCGGGGACAATATTTAATATTCACATTAACAGAAAATATAATTTTATCTTAGGATGAAGAAATGTGAGAATTACAATTTATCTTAGAATGAAGAAATGTGAGAATTACATCAGGCTACCTCTAGTCACCAGTCCATACCTTAAGCATTTAAACTTTAAAAGCACAGGTCGTAAGCTTAGTCGTAAGCTAAAAAGACTGGTCGTAAGATTGTTACTTGGTGAGTGACTGATCGTTCCTAACTTCAGTGTTTTAAATTGGCTACATTGAGCTTGTGAATGCAAATTCAATTAATAAATACAAAATCAAATGTGTTCATAACCAAAATACGAAGCATACACTTAGCTCAAGCGGGTTAATGCACAATATACAGGTTAGGATTGCTAGAATGTTCAACATTTTAATTAGTATACAGAACCGCGTATCAGGCAGCCAGGCATCTTGCAAGTAATGCCACTGTGACGCCGGGATGAAACGGGCATCTTCTTGCAAGACTGGCGTTCAATCCTCGATCGCCCAAGTGGTTGGGCACCATTCCTTCCCCCCGTCCCATCCCAAATCCTTATCCTGACCCCTTCCAAGTGCTATATAGTCGTAATGGCTTGGTGCTTTCCCCCCTGATAATTCCCTCCCTCCCAAACTTCACCCAAGCCATACCCTACTAGTTTGAATGCGCTAATCTACACAGAAAAGCTTGGCATTGGGTGAGGGTGCGAGAGTATAAGGACTGTAAAGCATGGTACACAGTTTACGGGGCGGGGGAAGACAATAGCACATAATGGCCACCTGAACACACTCGCAGATGCTAATATTTTGTGACACTACCTCGCTCAATGTTTATAAACACGTCGCACCAGTTGATGGTTGATTACGGGCTCACTATAGCCGGTGCTACATGGAAATTTTGTTCAGAGTTGCTGAATCTAAAACAACAACAGGTGGTTGGTTACACGCACGACTAATGCATTCTAAACACTTTGATATTTCTCTATTCAGACTCTTCCAGCTAACGTGATCATTTTAATGGCAGTATATAACGTAGATTAACGTTGTATAAAGCCGTTTTAGCTTCAATTATAAGTACGAAGCTTACAGGAGTGAAACGTATCAAATAATCAATCACATGCTTAGGTCACCTTAGTGATGACAAACTCACCTTTGACTAGAAATTCGCAGACTTTGTCACCTCAGGTAATAACCCATAAATGCATCGTGGCTTCTCTTAATTCCCATCAAAGTTCCCGGAGCCAGTGTTGTTGTTATAGATTCAGCTACTTGGAACAAGTTCCAAGTAGCACGGGCTATAGTGAGCCCGTAACTTACCTGGCACAGGAGCGGGGCAAGTAGCAGGAGCTATGGTGAGCCCGTAGTGGACTTACCTGACGCAGGAGCGGTGCTGTGTCCTTCGGAGCCAGTGGCTCAACCTTGTCTGACGTGTGCTTCCTTCATTCAACACTTCCCATGACCAAGGCGGTGAAGATCTTCATCAGAGGTTTCCACAAGCGCTCAGCAGGTTCCTTTAAGATCCATGCTGTCTTTACTTTTATAATGAATAAAAAGCCTCACATTGTGATGCAGGCCGAGGACATGCATAGAGCTCAAGCAATATCTAGAAGGCTCAATACTACCATGAATAGATTTGTCACATCAAGCTTATATAAAAACGCACGAATATTAAACTTTTTTTTAGCTTTTAGTATGGCAAATGATTACGTGTTTACTAATCAAGTTGATAATTAAAATTGTCCTACAGTTCAAAGTTTGTTTAATGTTTACCACGTGTTGGCTTCACTGGTGATGTGATAAAGTGTGTTGCATCCATTATTAGTGATGACCTCATACTAGTCAACAAGCTTGGATTAACTAACCTTCAGAGTGACCTTAACTTCAGCTTCTTCATCTTCTGTTCAGTTTACTATGCATATATAAAGTAAATTTTAAAGAGATGAATATATGATTTGGTAGTCAACAGCAAAAAAAAAAAATAAGTCTGCAAGTCTATGGCTGAAAGACCCAAATCTTTAGCCATTCACTGCAGGTGATTGACTGAAATGGACGACTCGAAATGGACTTGCCAGGATCAGGTTGGGTTACCGTTACCTGTGGCAGGTGGTTACAGGTGACGGGTCTCCCAATCCTGAGCACTCCAGGTGCAAACTCTGTGAGCAGGAATTGGGGCATGAACTCGAAAACTGTCACCGATTGCCCAGTTATCAGACCTTTCAGACCCATTGGCATGAGGTACCTGGAACTTTGCAATTACTTTATTCACTCTCGTGTTCCTGAGCTCCTCTAATTTGTAAATTCTCGCTTTTAGTGCTGTATTTCGCTAATAATGATTGTCCAGTTTCTGATGACAACGGATAACTCGTTTGTACAAATGTCTGGGCAATTATGCAAATTAGTAATTACTGTCTTTGTGGGTGTATTATAATGATGTTAATATGTTTAAAGTACAGCCGGAGATTGTTAACTTAGCGTTGATATTCAATAAAGAGGAATATGAGTCTGTTATTACAACTAGGTGAGCTTCTGGCACCCAGCCAGCACATCGACCCACCTTCTCCATCAATAATACACTAAGTACTTTATAGTCCAGGTGTTACTTATGACGTTGGCTGCTCAAGCACTAGATGACGCTCAGTATAAACATCCAGATGGCTATCATCCTGCACTCTGACACTGTCACCATACAGATGGTGATAATGTCACCATCATCACCATGATGGTTCATGCACTCTTGACTATCACCTTCCAGATGGTTATGTCTGACTATCACCTTCCAGATGGTTATGTCTGACTATCACCTTCCACATGGTTATGTCTGACTATCACCTTCCACATGGTTATGTCCATGCACTGACACCAACACCTGTGTTCAGAATCCATTCTATGCAGGTCATTATTTATATTATAGAGTATTTATGTGTTAGTCTTCATTTCAGAATTGAGAATGATGGTCACATATTCTGTAAAATATAGATGAAAGTCCTCCAAATATTCCCTCCTAAATCTGAAATAAAAATGTAAAACCATATACTGTACCGTAATAGCATAATATACAGTATAATCATCAACCCAGCCCTCAGTTGGTGTAAGCAAACAATCCAGCCCTCAGTTGTGTAACCAACAATATGGCCCACAGTTGGTGTAACCAAACAGTCCAGTTTTCAGTTAGCATAATCAAACAGACCAGTTTTCAGTTAGCATAATCAAAGAATCCAGTCATCAGTTTGTGTAACCAAAAACTCCAATCCTCAGATGAAGTATCAAAGCAACCTGGCCCTCAGTTGGTATAACCAAACAATTCCTCGAGATGCTTTGCATACTAGTGGCTTTCTTAAATAAACTTTTATGTAACAACTATTTAACCACTTTATCATATTATGTATATTTTTAATAAACATTATTATTATTATTAATACTGTATAAGTATGGCCCTAAATTGGTGTAATCAAACCAGACTCCAAATAGAGCTACTGTATATAAATCCTGACAATACCTCATTTCCATTTTTTCCCATCCTTGAAACTCACTAACATACATTTATTTAATTCATTAAGTTTTAATAATTCTATTCCATCTAATTAATTTCATAATCAATTAATTTTTTAAGATAGAGAATCTATCAGATCTCAGTTATTCCTTCACCTTTAGACAGGACAAATAAAGTATATGTGTGTGCTTTTTTTTCAATTTTAATCGGGTTGGCTTTGTATAAAAATCACATTATTTAGATGACTATGAATGATACATATATGCTGAACACATTTGTGACATCATTTCTTTACAAAATAATATCCTATGGATTGCAATTAAACAATGTTTGTTTTTCCCCTAGGTATATTTGACTAAATTTGGATATATGGATCCAGCAGTCACCAATCCACAGTCTGGAGCGCTGATTTCTGGAGACAATGTTCGCAAATCCATCATGGAATTCCAGGTCAGAGCAAGCAAGATGTTTGTATACATGTGTGTGTGTGTATGTGCATGTTTGCCCAAGCATATGTGTAATTTTTTTGCATGAAATTTCCATACTTTTGTCATAATTTTCTATAATGTCCTCATCCTGTCTTTAGTGTTCAAAATCACTTTAAAAATAAATTTGCTCCCTTTAACCCTATTCACTAATAATGCTTCTGCCAGCATGCTAAGATAATTTCCTTTTGTACAGGCATTTGCTGGGCTGAACCAGACAGGTGATCTGGATAAATTGACTCTCGAAATGATGAACATGCCCCGTTGTGGTGTTAAAGACAAGGTTGGCTTTGGTGCAGATGCAAGAAAGAAACGCTATGCTCTTCAAGGTCAGTATTGTACCAGAAAACTTCTAATGTACATTTGTCATACTACATGTTCTTTAAGAAATGCAAAATGCAGTATGCAAATCACGTTTTTTGGCACTGTTATTTAAAAAAAAAATGTGATGAATTTGTGATTGCAATAAAAATGTGCCACATAATCACCAACATTTCTCATAAACTGGCCTATTGAATCTTCTTGTATATAAATAAATAAATAAATAATAAATGACTTTGAGCAAAGTGAATGAGTTTTCACTGCAATTTGCATGCCCTTACTGTGTTTATTATTGTTGACAGGCTCCAGATGGCGTGTGAAGGAACTTACTTACAGGATCACCAAGTACCCAAAAGGACTTCACAAAAATGATGTTGATCGAGAGATTGAAGCAGCATTTAAGGTAGAGTTATGTGAATACTTTACATTGATTTAGTAACCACAGTAACACTCTAATTGATAAAATGTCTACGACATTTGACTAGATATGGACTTGGTATTTATTTGGTATTTGACACATTAAGCATCTGTTAATTTATCAAAACATTATTGTGCAGTATTTGCAAATAAAAACAATTATTTAAAGTAATACTGTTGAATACTATACTGTATATTGAAAACTAATCCTATTACTTACAGGTGTGGGCAGATGTGACTGATTTATCTTTCTCAACTGTGAATTCTGGGAAAGTTCACATAGAGATCCGTTTTGAAAAAGGAGAACATGGAGATGGAGATCCCTTCGATGGTCCGGGTGGCACATTGGCCCATGCTTACTTCCCTATTTATGGTGGTGATGCTCACTTTGATGACACTGAAGCGTGGACTATTAACAATATCAGAGGTGAGGGGGGACAATTTGAAATTTCTTTATGTATAAATAGATTTCTGTTGATGCTGCCCCGCCCCATGAAAATAAGAAATGCAGTAATGTTAATAAGGAATGATATTAAGCATTTTATTAATTACTAATAATTTGTTAAAACAATGCACAATATTATTCAACTTTTTAACACAATAATAAAATAAAAATTACAGTACAGTATACTGTTTGTGCTTTCACTCAAGATAACTTGCATACATGTGCAAGAAAAGACAAAAATATTTTTATCCACAAAAGAGTCTTACTGATCAAGATGCAGATGATGAGTCACAATAACATGGCTGAAAAATGTTGACCAAACCACACACTAGAAATTAAAGAGACGACGACGTTTTGGTCCATCCTGGACCATTATCAATCGAATTGATAATGGTCCATGACGGACCGAAATGTCGTCGTCTCTTCAATTTCTAGTGTGTGGTCGGAACAAGATACTGTACTGTAAGAAATACTGATACTGTACTGTACTTTTTAAGAAATTTTGTATTTACAATATTTTCCATCTTTATTTTAGGTACGAATTTATTCCAAGTAGCAGCACACGAGTTTGGTCACTCACTAGGTCTATCCCACTCCGATGTCCAGAGTGCTCTCATGGCTCCGTTCTATCGGGGTTATGAGCCTAATTTTATAATTGATAATGATGATATCCAAGGCATCCAGGTTTGTTATTGGACTGTTCTCTAATGCAAATTACAAATTTATTCATTCTTTATCACCTTTGTAACAATGGTTAGATATTTAAACTTGCAATGAAACTGCATTTTAATATGAAGGTTGTTGATTTATATACTGGACTGGTAATTTTAGATAATATATCATTTCAGGCACTGTATGGACAAAAGCCTGCCCGGCCCACACCAGCGACTCAGAGGCCTGAGACAGGTGGTGGTCCTAGAGGAGGCGGAGCTTCAGGAGGCTCTCTCTGTAGGGATGCATCTATTGATGCTATTGTTACTATGTCTGATAAGGAAACTTATGTCTTTAAAGGTAGGTCAAATGAATTCATGTATGTAAATATGTGTTGTGAAAATATTGATAATTTTAATAAATTAATTAACAATTTTCCAATTATATAGAAAGAATGCATCTGTATACTGTAATCCATTTTCTAATATTTATAATATTTTTTAGGAACTGAATATTGGAAGCTCACTGACGATGGAGTTGCCCAGGGTTACCCAAAATCAATTTCAGCGGACTGGCAGGGTCTGCCTTCTAATCTTGATGCTGCCTTTACATGGACAAATGGCAAAACTTACTTCTTCAAGGTTGGCAGTTACTGTAATCACTATATTTACTATTTAATTAATTATTCCTGAAAAGATTACCTTAGGATGTAATTTCAATATTATTATGTACTGTTATTCTCTGTAAGTGTGCATATGTGACAAATAATACTGCTTAGCGACATCCTCAACATTTACAGTACCTTCATATTTCTTCCTATTTACAGTATAGTTCTGTAAATTGTTTAATAAATTACTTTATTAAAGTATGGTACTTAATATTATTATTTCAGTAATATTATTAGTATTACTAATATTATTATTCCAGTAGTATTAATAGCACAATATTATGATTACTGATAAGGTAATATTTTAAGTGCTCTTATTACCAAATAATTCCCCTATTCATAATTTAAAACTTTTATATGTTGTGTGACTTAAATGATTTTAAATGCTGTACATTTTTACACTTATTATATGTATTTATAGACACACATACTTTCCTATTTTCCATATTTCTTCTATTTTATAATGTGTGTCGGTTTTGCAGGGAGGTGAATATTGGCGTTACACCGACTTGGTAAGAGATACGGGTTACCCAAAGTCAATTGAAAAAGGTTTTGCAGGAATTCCTAATAATATTGATGCAGCCTTTGTTTGGTCTGGAAATGGCAAAATATATTTCTTTAAGGTAGGAGTTTTTCCATATTAAATATTTCCTTATAAAATTCCTTATTACTTTAGTTCCTGATGAATTACAGATGGAAATGTACTTACTCTGCTATATGGTTTATTCACCTATCTGGTATTTAAATATTTTGTATGGCCGTAAGAAAATTTTATGTTGTATTCTAAAATGCACTATATTCTACAGGGTACTCATTACTGGCGTTTCGACCCTACTCAGCGCCCACCTGTGAAGGAGAGCTACCCTAAGGATATATCTAACTGGGAAGGTCTTCCTAACAATCTAGATGATGCCCTTCAGTACTCTAATGGATATACATACTTCTTTAAGGTATAATTCTGAAACAAAAAGATTCACAGCTGAGTAATATATACAGTGCAGAAATCTTTGTTTAGTAGAATTTTATTTTTATATGATAATTTTATACTGTTACCTTTCCATACATAGGGTTACAATGAACAAAATTTTGATATTCGGTACAGACCATAGCAGGGCATTTTTCTTACAGGATCGGCAGTACAGACCATAACAAGCCATTTTTCTTACAGGATGGAGAATACTGGCGGTTTAATGATCGAGCCTTCCGTACAGATACCGCCTCCCCTGAGTTCCCTCGGCCAGCAGGCTACTGGTGGTTTGGCTGTCCTGCTTCAGGCTCTCAGGTAACCTTTCATTTACTGCTCCATCTATTCTGTTAACAATTATTCTGCTCCTTATTATGACATGACATTCTGCTTTCTAATAATGAGAGTAATAATGCACTCATGGTCAACTTGCTCTTGTGCAGGTCGCCGGAGATTCCGTGAACACTCGTGGTGGAGCATCTCCATCAGGTGGAGGGGATGGTCAAGATGATACCTTTGATGCAGGTAAGTTTTAAAATATTACAATATGCTCATTATATATTATTATGCCTTTATAAAGACTGAAAGCTTGCATATATATATATATATATTAACTTGTATGAGTGCACAATAAGTTTTAAACATAACATTATGCTTATTCTATTTATATGTACTGTATATATATTCTGAAGTTTATGTAGTGACTTGAAAGCTTGCTTATACATTACTCGTATATGTGTACAGTATTCTTTTCCTTCAATGTTCTCAAAATGTTTACAGCATGTCTATAAGTTATGACCATGCACTACCGTTCATGGTATTTAATTTGATCATTTTAAAAAGTTCAAAAATTATATCTTCCATTTTAATATTTTTATGATTATATTGAATAATTTTGTAACATAACTAGCACAATACTGTATTTATCCCAACCCCATGAAAGTGGGAAATGGGGGGTATTGATGATCATGACCATCATTTACTCTAAAAGGCATTTGATGCAATTAACTCTACTAGAAATGCTTGCTGATATCTATGAGCACAGTGCATGCTTTAGAAATGCTTATAGTACTGTAGTTAGTTACTTCCTTCGAAAATAAAAGATGAAATGTTTCATGACCCCAGAAATTAGGATAACTATGATACCTTAAAAAAAAAAAATCCAAACTAAGATGATTTTGTCAAGTGGTGTTTTTTGAAGTGCAGCATGAAATTTAATACCAGCACTGAAGACACTTACTTGGTAGTAGCATGATCATTAAAATAGGTGCAAAAATCTAAAAATATATAAGTTTTATAACTGAACTCAGATGTATCAAGTGAAAAGTCATATTTCTTAGCAATATCCTGCAGCAGTTCAATGACATCAAATAGAATCATAGAATCATCTGAAAATACCTGTGCATAAAAATGAGTTGCAACTACAGAAATAAAATCAGTAACTAATAGCGATTCATTTTATGAATCACTCTTGGAAATCTTGGTTACATACCAGTATTTTCCGCAGACTTTTGTGCATGTAAATATATTATTATCTGCAGGCGATGAGTCACAATAACATGGCTGAAGTATGATGACCAATCCACACACTAGAAAATGAATGATCTAATGCACAATCGACTTGAGAATGGTCCAGGACGGACTGAAACGTCGTTGTTCCTTCATTTTCTAGTGTGTGGATTGGTCATCATCATATTATCTGTTCCTTAATTTTGCATACTTTCCTTTTATGAGTTTGTGTGTGGCACCTTTTCCACTCCTAGTTGCAATCTTCATTAGAAATTTCTCAAATGTTGACACATTGATTCTTCATGTTGCTCTTTCTCTGTGCCTGTATCTGTTGTTTTTGCACTGAAATTGGACCAACTACAGTATACATGTATTGCAGTCCAATGCTCACCATTTTGTTGCTACTTTATAGCACCAAATAAAGCATGAAATACTGCATCTTGCATTTATATAATGCTGATATTCTATATTTCTTGATCATTGTTTTGCCTTTTGTACATCTTTGTTGACGCTCATTGTCTAAGAGGAGTCTCTTATGTCACTGCAGGTCTGCCAAACTTGCATAATACATCATTTATTAACAGCTTTGGTTTCATTAGTTAAATAATGCTTTCTTGCTGCTAAATGTTTTGTTGCTGTTGCTTTTAAAGGCTCTGAAATAAAGTAAGCAGTTTTGTTCATGTTCATCATTTGTAGCTTTAACACAATTGGGGAAAAAAATATTGAATTGGATATTTCTTCCATAATTATAAAGAGGCTCTCAAACTTACAATGAATGTATTTATGTTGTGTTGAAGCATGATGCGTGTACAGTACTAATCTCTCTCTCAAGCAAGTAGTAAATCTTTGTACATAGCTCAGTATTCACATGCCTGTTCACTAAGTATTTGCACAATATAATTTAGTCTAACAAAATTTTGTATTTGAGTCTTATAATTGAAATTGTGAAACTTCTCCAGTACATATTGTATGAACTTTTATTCTTCAAGCATTTTATTAATTTGACAGTCATGCACTATATTTTTTAATTAATTTACATTTATTAGAGCAATCATTTTAGCATTTTTCATAATAGTTCAAAAATTTGATAAGAGTATAGTTTGATTATTTTGTCTTTACAGATAGCATCATTTTATCTAGCACATAATGATTGAATATTGCATGTTATATTGTTTGAGAGCCTCTGTTGAATGGTGATGTGGGCCTTCCCTCTACAGGAAGCTTAACCACTGTGGCTAGACGATAAGATCAGACTCCTGCATATGTACCAGAACCTGCGTTTCACCAAGTGCCTTAAGTGATGCTACAGCAATCATGTGGCTTGCATGCTTGGTCATCTTGCTTATACCATGGCCTGTACTTATTGGTGTTAGCCTTTGAGTCAATAACAGGTGTGAGGTAACTGTGTCATCTTGTGTGACAGATTCTGAACAAGAATCAGGCGTCACCCGATAGTGCAGCTGCTGTGGGCCTGATGGCTACGGCAATCAACCCTTCCCTCATGCCTTGCAAGATTGGTATGCCATTTTTGCCAGCAGCAGGTCTCCCATCTGTGCGTTCTACTCATTTCATGCTTGCTCCTGCTTCAAGATGCAAGTCACCTCGTTATTTTGAGAAATTTATATAATTTGTTTGAAATATTTTTTAATACACTTTACTTTTATACCTTGAATAAGAAACATTTAATAATCATGGCTGTCCTATCTCGGCTAATAGCTATATTTTTTATCTGTGATATATAATACAGAACTTTAGTATTTTACTTTAGAATGCCAATAATCTTCTTGTAGCCCACCTTAAAAATACAGTAGTGTGATGGTCGCACACCATAAACAACTTGGTAGTAACAGTGCTAATGGTATAGTGGTATAAACAAATGAGTGTAAACATCATAGTGGTGCTAATGGTTTCACCTGAAACTCGTAAAATAGATATAAATACACAAAAGAAAAAAAAAACTTTTGATGTTCATCTCGCCTTCATTTCCCTTTATAAGCATCTGTTTAATGTGATCAAGACCTTACAGGCAAAATGACATCTTGAGTAAAGTCAACTTTTTACTTTTTATTTCTTTACATCATTGTCAGCACTTTGTGCTCTATTCAACCAATCGGACATAATTCAGAAGGTCTTCAAAACTACAGTACAGTATTCATAACTTCAGCTGCTGCTTGGGGGCTTATAACCAAATAATACTAACAATTACTAACAATGGTCATTTATAGTTTTATTGTTGCTTGTTAAAGTACATAATTTTAAAGAAACACCATTATAATGTTGATTTTTGTGCCACCTTTCCCCCTCAGCCGGTTCAAATGATGGCTTTGACCCCAACAACAACTACGTAAAACCTCGAGTCTCAGAATCTCTAAGTTCTGGAAAGATCAATAGCAGCAGTAGAGCCTTTACCAGTCCAATTACTCTTGTCATCGCTCTTTTCACAACGCTCCTGCTTAAGATGTGAACTGGTGTGTCAAGTGAAGGCGATTCTGAGCAATACATGTCCCGCAGTTATTCTACCAGTTCAAATTAAACCATTATATGAAATGGTTACTTTATCCTAACAAACAGTTTGTATATGTGCTTATATAAATACTTTCACAAATCATTGTACAAATTTTGCTGACACAAATTATGTTAATATTTCTGTATCCTGATTTGTCGTGCTTGACCCTTTTTTATGGGTGAAAATGTTTAATTTTCAATTAGGTAACTTGTTACAAGTTGTTTATGATTTTGAGTTCAATCGATGAGACCATAAAAATATTATATAATAAATTAGTAATTACTTCTAGAATACAGTATAAGAAATATAATATATTTAGAATGTCAAAACCTCAATATTATGACGAGTTTCACGAATTGATTGTAAACATCACTAAAATAATAAATAAATCAAGATTGGAACCAAAATAAAGGTAATTTCTTACGACAATTCTTTTTACCATTTGTAGATTATTGTTTACGACTCCAACATAAAACACGATATCTTCCAAAGTGTTCGTACATGTAAGGCCAGAGAGGCTGGTGCACACCATCTGGACATTTTACCACCCATGTAACACTCCAAATATTGCACTATTGCTGTTGTAAACACTGAAACAAAAACAACCTATTCTATCCTAGACCTAATGTAGTACAGATATTCTAGATTAGGCATTGAAGAGGTTAGGTTTGGCCTACAATTGCTTACCTTATTCCTAGGGTAGGTTAGATTCTTCTTGTTTCTTTTTTATCTTGGTGTTTTGAGTTTACAAGGTCAATAGTGTGTAGTGCAAGTAGTGTAAAATGTCAGCTGTTGTGTGTTGATATGGAAACATGTAACTACAAATTTATGCTCTGGTGGTCTAGTGTACATACTGAAAACATAGCAGTGCACTTGCAGAGGACTACATCAGTACTACATCATAGGTGTTTTGTAAGTGAATTTTATATTTCTAGATTTGTTTGCCTTCTTAAAAATAAAAAGTAATATATTTAAAAAGTAACAGTGGCAATACCTCTTATGATATTTAAATCTGTAATGGCTGCCTTAAGATTTCCTAAACTATGTTGTATCCTTGGCTCTATTGAAATGTCTTAAGCTCTACATGTCACTCCTAGCTTTTTAAAATTCTGTAAACTCTTACCCAGTTTGATGTCCAAAATCTGATACTTGGTATTAATTTGTAGTGCCTGTGATTGCAGCCACTGACCTGTGTATCTGCATGTTAATTCTAAGTCTATTCCATTAACTAGTCACTAGTAACTAGTGACTTAATTATCCGAGTGTATGACCTGAACATCAGTAGCGACGTGTATTACTCAGCGTGTCTGAAATTTGCTTGTAACTGAATGTGGACTTTTTTTAATGTTGGAATGTCACATTGTGTGAATTTATTAAGAATCAAGAATGATCTCCTTTTGAAGTACGTATACTAGTTGTCAACTAGTGTTCCTCGGCAGGCACATGCTGATGAAGCAATGTCGACCCGACAGTACTGACACTGTTTTGTTCTTGTGTCTGGAGGGGTAACTATTTCCCAGTCATTGGTATGTGACACTTTTATTGTTGAGGACATGACTGTTTTTCTCGTGATGAAATGTATTTCGGGTTTGTGATTGATATTCACAATATTTATGACTTAAATGACAACAAAAACAATTCCTCAAGGCATTAGCTTTGTTTTGATATATAAACAAAGTGAATTAAGTTATTGTTAGTCATGTAAGAATGAAATTTTATATAATTTTTGTATATATTTGTACATATGTCATTAATAGGGTTTCACTTGTTATTTTCAATGTATTTTGTTAAATAAGCTTCCTATTTTGCTTATGTTTGTATGTATTTTTAACAAATTTCTCCTCTGCTAATTACCCTATTAGTGAATAAAACTTTTTTATAAAATTTGTTTCAAAGATCCAAAGCTACTTTTGCCTTTAGTGGCACAAATTTGAGTTAGTTGGGTCCAGGGCCCATTCGTCCAACCCTTCCTTCGAATAGACAGTATGTTTTAATACTAAATGTAATAAGTACATTCCTGACTGTCTGCATAGTACATAAATACACTTAATTGTGCTGTTACATTTACCTCCCCATATAGTCTCATTTTGTATTAATACACAAAATTTTTAGGATGAAGTTTTCATGTTCAATTCTATATACACAACTTTTAAATATAAAGAATTTCTTTTTCAGTTTTATTAAACAGTAGAGATTTTATACAAAATTTTTAAATACCCTGAGTTACTTTATAATTCATTGAAAGACTTTAGTTTTGTTTTATTAGTTTTATAAAATTGTAATATCAATATAGCTATAGGTTAAGTACTAATTGTAATTAAGAAGCAATAAATACTATGTACATGCTTGTCCTCCTACACTTCCAAGGTTAGGTTAGGTCGTGGTTTTTCTATACAGCTTTTCAGGTAAACTCTAATACTGTATTCACAATATTTTGGTGCGATGCTGGCGATTAAGTGTATTTATGTACTATACAGATAGTCAGTATTGTATTTATTACATTTAGTATTAAAACAATGTCTATTCGGAGGATGGGCTGATTCCTCTGCCCCTATTATTGCTGGGAATGCAGGGCTGCTTGGACCAAGTAGTGATGAGAAGTGGAGTGGCCACATAAAGGTATGCTGACAAAACTAATGATGGTACAGAGAGAAGGAATGTGAATAGAAAATTTTTGGAAGTGGTTGATCAGTTTAAATTCCTGGGCCAAGTGACGGATAAAAAGAACGTGTACTAAGTTGAAAATAGAGTGAGGTAGGGAAGGAAAGTTAGTGATCTCAGATACTAATTTTCTAAAAGAAACAAAAAAATGTTCATTGAGCAACAGAACATAACATGATTTTTAACGGCGATAAATTCCAGATACTGTAAAAATTAAAAGCTTTAAATGGGAATCCTGTACAAGCTAATATACTTATGCTTTCCCACCTTGAGGACTGCTTGTTACTCTGTCCCCTTCAGAGTAGGACAGAATTATGAAATATAATAAATTCAAAGAACATATATGGCATGCATAAACATAGTACATAATTTAAATTACAAAGATAATCTCAGAGCACTCACAATATACTTTCTGGAAAGGAGAGAAAAAGAGATCACAATACATGCATGAAAGATACCAGAAGGCCAAGTCCCAAATATACACAATAAAGTGAAAGTCATGGCAGGAAATTCAGAATTGATCCACTGAAAAGAAGAGGTTCCATAGGCACAATCGGAAAACATTGTGTGAACATTAGAGATTCACAGCTCTTCAACTTCCTCTCGCCAAATATATGAAATACTGCCAAAACATAAGTAGATGTTTTCAAGAGACAATTGGAGTAGTTCCTACAGGAAGTGGCAGATAAGTAGGTCATAATGAATATGTGGGTCTGAGGACCTCTCTATGGAACAGTATTTCAAACCAAGTTATCATAAAATTAGGCTGGCCCCAGGCCTATCCTGGATTTGTATAACTCAAAACCAACTCCGGTTAAACTACAGACAAGTGGTTTGTTTAGTTGCTCCTAACCTTTCTGTTTGGTTTCCTTGGTACAGTATTGCATCAATTTCTGACCTTCGAACTTCCTTGACCTTGGAGAGGGTGCCATGTATTGGTCGTGGCTCCTGGTATGTAAGGGTTGGTCTCGAAGACTTCGTGCTTCAGATTGGAAGCTATTGTGGGCCCTCCTAGAAAGAGCAGAACACCACACGAAAGGAAGGAAAATAGGATAGGAAAATTGAACCACTACTGAAGATAGTGAAGAGCAGTCCAGAAATAGGCATTTCAATATGCTCAGTGCTCTATTATAGGTGGTGGGTTTAGCAAGATAGGCAAAAAAGTTGACTAAAAATCAGTTATTCACTTTATATTTATATAACAATATGTATTATTACAGTTTAAAAAAATAAGTATGTTCACTACACTGTCTCCAAAAGCCTGACAAAAATATGCATAATTTTGTTTATATCAGATTTAAATAGCATGTTATGATGCTTTTAGGACACCATATGAACTTGTGTAGACAAAATATTATACAATAATTCTAGTAAAATATGCTGCCAAGAAGCAGTGGCAAGAGAGGAACACTGTTTTGGGTTATCTACCTTTCCCGTATACAGGAAGGCAATTCCATGATAGTGGATAAACACCTCTTTCAGCTTAGCAAAATAATTTTCCCTTTGGCTCCAAGTGAAACCAAAGGGTAAAGTTTGGTATATTGTTTTATATAAAAATGGTTACCTAGAAAAGGCTCCACTGACCAAAATCAATATGCATCTCAATTATATGATCCTACACAAGTGTTCAAGATTTAAAAGTAAATCAATGTCATGAGAAATAAAAATATATCGCAGAATGAAGATTAAAAACAATGCACAAAGAAATTCCATTAACGTGATGTATCAAAGAGATATTCAGTATGTTTGGGATGCAGTACGCAGTTTTGAATCCTTCTCATGGCTCCTATTGATTTTCTCATTAAGAGCAATGTTCCATTTGGACTATATTCCTTAAATTCAATAATAGTTTTAGGTCATTATAATAAGGCATTCTTAAGATGTTGAAGAGAGACCTACAGGAAGAAAAATTATTCAGAAAGAAATGAAAAAAAAAAATGGGTTATACATGATGAAAACATGAAGCACACCTTCAAGGGTAGCTAATTATTAATAATATCCTATTTATTTTACCTTAAAACTATGTGGCTACAATTTTTAGAGACTTAATATTCTTTAAATGTTCCCCCATCATTGCTTCATACTCGGTGTCTTTGATCTGGTGAGCTCCGCGACTGGTCTGAATAAAGTTACTAAAGTGGGAGTTTGCTGTTCCATAGTAATCCACCTGAGAGACAAATAAAACAAATTATTATTCAACTCACAAATTCAAGCCACATGTGAAAGAAATTTCAAACAGAGCAATTATCAGATAGGCAGTCATATGTTTGGAATGTTGTGATATTTTCAGCATGAAGATGTTAGCAATTAAATTATTTGGCAAATATTTTGTATCCAAAATGAAGTTAAAAATACATGGGAGAAGACCATGCATAAATAACAAAATAGACTGAGTACATAAAGTTGCTTCAAATAGGTTTCGTGTGTGTGTGACAATTGTGATTCCCTATTTCAGACTACATTTCAAACTTTCTTTGACATATAATTTTTCTTCTCTTCCTCCTTTTTCTAACCTGTCTATCAGTGTAAAATAACTTGAATATTTTATTCATATATGCTAATGGTGTACATGTTCACCACACCTAGTAATTAACATTTTCATTGGAATTTTCCATCTTCTACTTCAAGGAAATAACAATCTTTACAAATAAAAGTATGCTCAATATTAATTTAAATTAATTTAATATTAAATTTAAAACAATCTAAAATTATTACCAGAGTTTGCACATATGCTTGGATGCATGGTTGCAGCAAAGGCTGTCGCATAGAATGAAATTTCTTGGCCTCGGTAAGCAGCTGCCCGTTGATTTCCTTCAGCTGACGCTGTGCACTGTCTCGCTCCACCATCACATCCGTTGTGCGCTTGCCCTAAGGAGTAAATTCTAATTAAGTGTAACATAATGCATTTTTGCAAAATATATTTGCATAATATTTGCACATGGTGGGATGCATGACAGTACAGTAATTAGGTTATTTGAAAAATGTTCATATGATAAAGAATTTTATTTCCTCTACCCATTCACACATTTAAGAATTAAAAACAAAGTTCTAGTATTCACTTAGTTATGCTTGCTGGGGTTGAGCTTTGCTCTTTCAGCCCGCTTCTCAACTGTCAATCAACTGTTACTAACTACTAACTAATTTTTTTTTTCACACAAAATTTTTTTTCAGATAGATGAAAAGATGGATGAAAATTTTTCTGACTGATAGAAAAATGAGGGCAGTAATCAGAGGCAATGTATCAGACTGATACATTGAGAAATGTCACAAGTGGAGTACCACAGGGTTCAGTTCTTGCACCGGTGATGTTCATTGTCTACATAAATGATCTACCAGATGGAATACAGAATTATATGAACATGTTTGCTGATGATGCTAAGATAATAGGAAGGACATGAAACTTAGATGATTGTCATGCCCTTCAAGAAGACCATGACAAAATAAGTATATGGAGCACCACTTGGTAAATGGAATTTAATGTGAATAAATACCATGTTATGGAATGTGGAATAGGAGAACATAGACCCCACACAACCTATAAATTATGTGAGAAATCTTTAAAGAATTTTGATAAAGAAAGATCTAGGGGTGGTTCTAGATAGAAAACTATCATCTGAGGACCACATAAAGAACGTTGTGTGAGGAGCCTATGCTATGCTTTCTAACTTCAGAATTGCTTTTAAATACATGGATGGTGAAATACTAAAGAAATTGTTCACAACTTTTGTCAAGCCAAAGCTAGAATACGCTGTGGTTGTGTGGTGCCCATATCTTAAGAAGCACATCAACTGGAAAAGGTGCAAAGACATGCTACTAAGTGCCTCCCAGAACTGAAGGGCAAGAGTTACAAGGAGAGGTTCGAGGCATTCAATATGCCAAAAATAGAAGACAGAAGAAAAAGAGGTAATATGATCACTACGTACAAAATAGTAACAAGAATTGATAAAATTGGTTGGGAAGATTTCCTGAGACCTGGAACTTCAAGAACAAGAGGTCATATTTTTAAACTAACTAAACAAAGATGCCAAAGAAATATAAGAAAATTCACTTTCGCAAACAGAGTGGTAGACGGTTGGAACAAGTTAAGTGAGAAGGTGGTGGAGGCCAAAACCGTTGGTAGTTTCAAAGCGCTCTATGACAAAGAGTGCTGGGTAGACGGGACACCATGAGTGTAGCTCTCATCCTGTAACTACACTTAGGTAATTACACCCCCCCGTAGGAAGCAGCTCCATAACAGCTGTCTAACTCCCAGGTACCTATTTACTGCTAGATAACAGGGGCATTCAGAGTGAAAGAAACTTTGCCCATTTGTTTCTGCCTGGTCCGGGAATCAAACCCGGGCTACGGAATTACGAGTCCTGCGCGCTGTCCACTCAGCTACCAGACCCCGTGTGGTAGTGCAGGTATTTCTTTTCAAATCATTTTAATATTACATGTAATAAACTAAAAAAGTCCATATTAACTAAAAGTCTATATTAACGCACAATGAGGTAGTTCCTGATTGGATGTGGCAGTTTTGTTAATTATAGCAGCTCTCATATTACAAAAAAATAATGAACAGTTCCCTTATTACTGCAGATATTAATAATGATAACTTGTACTTACCTTTAATTTTAATCGATCCAGTTTATCTTGACACTTTTGCACCACAACAAGCTGAGCATCTCGCCGCCTACGTAATGCATCTAGATGTTCATACAGTGCTTGGTACTGCTTTATTGGCTCACCCATAACTTGTTGTACAGCTAAGCTTGTCTCATCACTTTTGGGTTTCATCTTTAACAGAAAAAAAAATTAGTGAATTTATGAAACACTATTTTGAATATCCCCTTGGTTTCTCCACTAGCCCGGAACTGGACTTAACATTCCCTTCAGGCTTTCTACGATCTGTAGTCTCACTATGTCAAGTAACATTTCAAATGGCCTTGGCATTTTATTTGGGAGGGAAGACATGAAAATAAAATTCAATCTTATCACTAAAATGATCACTCACTGACTCCAAAGAGCAGAAACAATAATTTAACACCTCCAAGAAACAATCAGAAACACAAGGAATTGCAGTTAAATCTCTTTTATGTTTAATAATTACTAACTACTCCAGGTATTACCAAATAGTAGTATCACTACCACTACAAGGTCAGTGGAGGCTAACTCTCAACACTCACAGATATAGTAGCTATGGCAGATATTACATTCCACTTGTAGAGTGGAATGAGAAGAAATCGATATGCTGCTCATAAAGGAATGTTGCACAGCCTCAACACCCTATTTCTGAGCAAGTGCTCCAGAGCAAACTCCCAACAGACACCTTTCCAGAAGAGAAAGCCCCAAAAGATAAGGAAGAGTTTGTGGAACCAATGACTTGAGCAACTTAGGCCAATAAGGGAGGGCAGACTCACCAAAAGAACAGGAAAAGTCCCCCAGCAACCCACGATCATCCCAGAAAATTAGTTTGGTAGCTCTAGAAAATGGGCATGTTGGCTCCCAGATCATCTCTCAATTGGAACACACACACAGCACCGCTCCTGTGCCAGGCAAGTCCACTACAGGCTCACCATAGCCCATGCTACTTGCCCCGCTCCTGTGTCAGGTAAATTACGGGCTCACCATAGCCCATGCTACTTGGTACTTGTTCCGAGTAGCTGAATCTATAACAACAATCTCTCAATTATGTAGACAAAAATAGAAGAAATACATATGCACACATGTATGTGTGCAAGGTTGATGGAAGCATAATTGTTCATTTTATACAGTATCACATGGGGTGACATTTGACTCAGCTGCCAACTGCTGACAGAATTTGAAAGATTCAGGGCCTACCTTGACCTTGGGCCTAATCTGAAGGTCAGACAACCTGGTTGAACACAGCATGATTTGGTTTCCCAGTGTTGGGGGACAGGAAACCTGTTAGGCTTATTGAGATCTCCCTAGGCTAACTACTAACCTATCCAAGTTGCAACCACTACAGTTGCCTAACTCCTGGGGACCTATTTACTACCGAGTGATCAGATGCACAAGGTAAAAGGAAACACAACAAAGTTTGTGTCTTGTAGTGGGAATCAAACGCGGGTCATTTCAGTTGTGACCTGACTGCATTGACCAGGTCGGTTTCAATTTCTAAGTACTGTACATTTTGTGGGAGATGACGGCTATCACTTAGCACACACAAAGACAAGTGGATATTCAGGTAATGATACCGAATGAATAATATTCCCCAGTTCACAAATTATAAATAATCCACAATTAGTGCAGATTCAAAAACTCTCAGCAACTTATTTCTTATTAAAAATTATGTTGACCACTTTATACACAATTTATGGAAGTAGCTCTTAAAAAATATAGACCAGGTTTACCAACCTCCATAACCACAGATAGGTATTCATCTGTCGCCTGCTGCATCTGTGGGGAAATTGCTGTCAGGCCAGAAGATCCCAAATCTTTCAAAAGTTTTTCTTCTGCTTCTTGAATGTCTTTAAGAGCCTCTCTGTAATTTCGGACTTCACTCAATATCTTGCAACAACCAGCTTCAGATCTACAAAAAGGCAAAACCACATTAAATATTTGTATTCAGTCTCATTATTTAACTTGTCACACAACATTTCTGGAGGGGCTAAATGTTGGTTCTCTGTAGTTAGCTGCACTGAGATAGCCTTACACATGTAAATCATATCAGCCCTAGGGATCTCTTAATAGCCTGCCTTTTTACTCTTTGTTGGTCTAGTGATCAATGTTCCCATGGCTCAGGCTCTGACCAGGCCTCCTGGTTGGTGCGTGTGGTCAACCAGGCAGGCTGTTGGACGCAGCTGCTCACAGCCTCGTATACGAATCACAGCCTTGTTAATCAGGTATCCTTTAGAGATGCTTATCAAGTTCTCTCTTGAACACCGTGAGAGGTCAGCCAGTTATGCCTAGTCAAGGGCGTAGGAAAAGCTTCCTTAGCATATGGTCTAGGGTACATGATGAACATAAACTGGTTGGGGTTGCGAGAATTAAAAAAGGAACAGCGTGCCAAGGTCACATTCAGACCCTCCCAAACACACACACACACAACTTTTAACATTGTTCACTGACTAAACAGCTAAATATTTTGGAAACTAAAAAAAAAAATCAATTCTTATAGTAATATACACCATTATTCACTGATTGAGGAAAATAACAGAAATTTCCTGCTGTCAATATTTGCCCATACTCGCATAAAACTAACAACCCTCCAACTCCTTCAAAGTTCCTCAAGCAACGCCCTTTCTTGGAGTACAGGGTTACCATTCTATTTCATACTGCTAAACTCCTCTCATTGCAGACCACCCACACATTAGGCAATAATACTTTTACACGAGAGACAGGGAAAGAGAGACAAAGTGAGTCATTGAAAGAGACAGAGACAGACAGACAGCAGATAGATGGATAGATGGATAGATGATAGATAGATGAGAAGATAAGCCGATACATGGACAGACAGAAAAATAGATGGATGGATAGATACATAGATAAGACTGATGGATACTTTGATGGATATATGAAAGGATAGATAGATGGATGTATAGACAGATGAAAAGAGATGGATAAATAGATGAATATGAAAGGATTGATGGATAGGTAGATATTGATGGATGGCTAGATGGGACAGATGGGAGACAGACAGACAGACACCCGGGCAACCCCGTGTACCCCTGTAGTTGTATACATGAGTGAGTCTGGTAGAATATCGGTAAGAGCTGCATCAATAGCCAATATGTTTCCTGTAGTTTGTTATATTCTTATGTCATTAAATCCTTTAGTGTTAGAACCTCCCAAAAGAAATCCTAGATTGCCACTGAACAAGCAAAAATATGAAAATGTAGTATATAATGCATCATGAAATGATCAAAATAAAATGTTTGTTTTCTAGATAACTGTACACAACGTACTGTACTTGTTTTTCATTATATTGCAGCTACTCTGTTTCTTTACTGACCAAACTTCTTGCATCAGCTATAACTCACAGGATGCAATCTAAAGTCAAAGTTAGTGATACATTTATGCAGTCATGAAGAGCAATAGTGATATATTCAGATCCCTTAGCTTGTAAATAAGCATTTCTACAATTTATAAGGATTAAGAAATTTACTGTATATTAGTTCTTAGGAACTAAATTGTGTGATGTTTATTGGAATATTTCTGTATTATAGTCTGCATGACATATGTAATATAGAGTGAAGAGACGACGTTTTGGTCTGTCCTGGACCATTCTCAAGTCGATTGTCTCGATTCTCACAATCGACTTGAGAATGGTCCAGGACGGACCGAAAAGTCGTTGTCCCTTCACTTTCTAGTGTGTGGTTTAGTCAACATATATCAGCCACGTTATTGTGACCCTTCATCTGCATGTGTAATAGTGTAATATAGAGTACAGTACTAAACAAAACACCACCGCACAGATCATATTCAAAACAGGTCATGCACAAAAGGGTCCAAGGGTCCCCATGCCTGTGCCATAGTTGAAACTTACTTTGTTATTTCAACCCAGAGGTTTGCCAGACTCTCTTCCTCTTGATGGGGTAGAATGCCACTTGCTGGTTTAGGAGCTTCGAGGACAGATGTTGGTTTTCCAATTCCAAGGCTCAAGAAAGACTTCATTTTCCCAATACTATGTTGTTTTCACAAGTCTTTACATTCAAAATTTCTGAAACGACAAGATTCAAATAACCGAGAAAAACTCTAGCTACATACATAAATTTTATTTCAGTCAACATTTGTAACATTTAATAATAAAGGTAATTATATAATCATTATTCGACCCTGGAGGGAAGGGGGGTAGACCTCAATACAAGCCTAACATTATATGTATAAACTGGCTGCCTGTCCCGCGACACAATGAATTAAATGATACATACAGATAATTCATAATGTTTGTATAAACTGGCTGCCTGTCCCGCGGCACAATGAATTAAATATGATACATCAGACATAATTCATAATGTATGTATAAACTGGCTGCCTGTCCCGCGGCACAATGAATTAAATGATACATACAGATAATTCATAATGTATGTATAAACTGGCTGCCTGTCCCGCGGCACAATGAATTAAATGATACATACAGATAATTCATAATGTATGTATAAACTGGCTGCCTGTCCCGCGGCACAATGAATTAAATATGATACATCAGACAGATAATTCATAATGTATGTATAAACTGGCTGCCTGTCCCGCGGCACAATGAATTAAATATGATACATCAGACAGATAATTCATAATGTATGTATAAACTGGCTGCCTGTCCCGCGGCACAATGAATTAAATATGATACATACAGATAATTCATAATGTATGTATAAACTGGCTGCCTGTCCCGCGGCACAATGAATTAAATATGATACATCAGACAGATAATTCATAATGAGAGGACGTGACAAAAGCCTGTGTGGTCAGGTCTCCCCCCAGTCACTGGATGGGTGACACAGCGCGGAGGGTTTGGCTAAGGGACGGCCTCAACTGACTGTAGCAGTCTTCCTGTCCCCCGGGTATCCCACCACAGGTGTGTCCCTGACCAGAGTATCCCAGTCCCAACACCTGAGCCCAGATGACGTTCACTGCGCACGGAAATAACATAAAAAATAATACAAAAAATAATACAATTCTGTAGAGTTCATACAAGTACCACAAAACAAAATGTTTTAATAAATATGATTATGCCGCAACAAGGCCATTTTTATCTTATTTTATATATATAATATTCAATTTTGACATTGAAGGTACGGCTTATATTTTTGTTCCAATGATTGCATAACAACGTATTTAGCCCTATGCTCAATTTCCAGCAAACCGTTAGGAATTTATATACATATATACATTTTATTTTAGAGCCATCAAAGATATTTAGATGTGATTCGAGTTTTATTTTGTTGGTTGTAGAGAACGTAGCCCACTCAGCAACCTGTGTTTACATGGCAGCCTCCGGGGAGACGACGCCTGCTATTTTCTGACATAAATCACACCAAGTTGTGTCTGAGCTGCTGCTATCATGACTAGAGGTGAGAGGGGTGAGAGCAGAGTGCCGGTGAGAGGGATACTGTGAGAGTGGAGGCTGTGAAAGGGGTGAGAAGGGGAGGGAGGGAGAGAGAGAGAGAGAGAGAGAGAGGGAGAGTATAATGTGGGCGGAGTTGACCCGCTAGTGTGATGCAGGAAATACCTATCCTTGTCCCACAGGTGCTGTCTTCCTGTCCCCACGTGTCTCGGGGACACATGGCTCCAGTCATATGTGGCTCATAAAAGCACAAACCTGCACAGAAGGTCTGTGTATGGTATAGTACAATGACAACAGCTGTGGGCTGAATTATCCAGTGGCAAGCTGCCCCCCCCCCACACCATTACCGTAGACCTGTGCTTGCTTGGCAGCACGCACACGGGAAGTAGTCGCTCATTGATTGATTGATGAAGATTAAGCCACCTAAAAGGTGGCACGGGCATGAATAGCCTGTAAGTAGTGGCCCTTTGGAGCCATTACCAGTATCAAGAGCTGATACTGGACATCTGTGGAGGTGTGACTGTACTCTACGGAGAGGTCGTGACCTGTGAAGTATTCGTTCATTAAGTGAAGTTTATATATATAGTTCTTTGTTATTTTTGTCAAGCTCTGAGTGTTGGCTTTCACACAGGAATTTCCTTAGCGTGCTGAAGAAACTTGTAGCGCCTCTTGCAGCATCTGTGAGCAGGAGGAAGCAGCAAGCATATAGGGAGTATGTTATGCTGTACATTGTAGCATATTGTGTTCAAGATATAAAAGATACTGTAAAGGTATAAATGTAGACTTTTATTTTTATTTATGCATAGTGGAGGCAGTTTACAAGTTTGAAAAGTGTTACAAATGTTTTTTCTTGTTCACTCATTCACCTTTTGAGTCTTATTAGGGTTAATAATAAATATGATGAAGCAATATCTTTATGCCGTAGAAATAGAATGAGGAAAACACCACAGGTCTATGAGAAAGCAGAAATTAATGGATGGATAAAAAATGCAGAAGTAATTTTTTATTGTAACAAATAAGATTGAAGAGAAAACGCTAAGCCATGATCGCTATGCACCCACTAATGTCATGATCGTGTATGTCGGGCAAGGCTTGAAGTACTGGTTATATAAGATACCAAGAGAAAAAGAAGGGAAGTCAAAATGTGTTCTTATTTAGTAAGATGAGAAAGCTGAAGACCTTCAGCGAACCCTGGTCAGCTGGCATCCAATACTGACCTTACCAAGCACTTGCACAGTTATTTTACAGTTAGGAAAGATGAATGTACAGAATGGAAGTCCTTCAGTGATTGTATTAAACACACAGTATTGTGTTTATAGTGTAGATAATCAAATATGGTTTTAATCACTATATTTTACCACCTAGAATAATACAAAATATGGAGAGCAATTTGTACCATGAAAATTTGTCTTTTAACCATGCCTATAAACCATTAATTTCACTTACAGGCTCGTAAAACTTGACAAAGATGAATGGTAACAGTTCGACACCAGTGGAGAAGCGCCGCGGTTCTCCTCTAATGAAGTTATCGGCATATGTGCTTGCTCTACGACCATGGTCCTTCAGTGCTTCCTTAATGCCAGTATTGTTGGGGTGTATTTTAGCCCATAAGGCTACCGGAGAATTTAATATTGTTGCACTTGTCACAACAGCACTTACAGCTTTGTCAGTACATGCTGCTGGTAATGTTGTGAACACTTATTTTGATTATGTGAAAGGAATTGACAGTAAAAAGAGTGATGATCGGACCTTAGTGGACCAACACCTTTCCAAAGATGAAATTGTAACACTTGGTGTCATTTTGTATTCTATTGGGTGTGCCGGATTTGTTATTTTGACTATGGTAACACGTGCCCGTTTGGAACATTTGGCCCTGGTGTATTTTGGAGGGCTATCTAGTTCATTTTTATACACTGGTGGAATAGGCTTCAAGTACATTGCCTTGGGGGATGTTATGATTCTTATCTTCTTTGGTCCGATGACTGTACTTTTTTCATACATGGTCCAAGCAGGGCATGTTCAGTGGGCAACCATTTTGTATGCTGTACCTCTTGCCTTAAATACTGAAGCAATCCTTCATTCAAATAATACTCGCGATTTAGAATCCGACAGGCGAGCTGGGATTGTCACATTAGCTATTATTATCGGCTCGACAGCTTCCGAAGTTTTGTATGCCGTTTTTCTCTTTGCTCCTTATACAATGTTTGCTGTTTGGGGTATGAAGTATTCAGCAATGCTTTTTCTTCCACTAATTACAATCCCTGAAGCATTCAGACTAGAAAGGCATTTTAGAACAGTAGGCAAAGGGCCAATACCAAAGAGGACTGCTAAACTCAATGCCTATCTAGGCTTTCTCTATGTATTAGGCTGTGCTCTCTCTGACCCTGCAAAATTACCCTATATTCTCTGATTTTTAATAAAATTGCATATTTAATATTTGAGTTTTGTGGTGTATTTTCTTGAGTTGGCAGCATTTTTTTAATGTGAATAGGTCTGTGGTCTTTGATTTCATTTAATATATTTTTATAGTAAGACAATACTTTCTCGAATTTTGTGAACTGTAATATCATAGCCTATCTGTCATGTGGATACTGAAGTGTTAATTGCAAAAGTTAAATGTGTTTAACATGCCCATCATATGATAGTATGTTTTCACACACAAATTTTTCAGTTCTATTTGTCATTAGTCTATTAAGTTTTTCCAGTCCATTTGGCTCAGAATCACTACTAAAATTCTGTGACATTAGTGACTTGGCAGAATCTGATGTGTAAATAACTTAATTAATTTTAGTTTTGTGACATGAGTTTACCATAATGCAGCTTTTGGCATTAGAAACTAGTTGCAACATTTACAGCTATATTTATGGGACATGGAGTTCTAATATAGGCAATGCCAATTAATTGCAATATGTATACATAATTATATTAGCGGTGTATTCCTGGCAAATATTTTTTTGTGCATCGAGCAGCACTAACTAGTTCAGTTAAAAAAAAAAAAACTTCCTTGACACTGGCTCTATTAATTGAGTGCATATTGAGTTTGCTGCAGTATCTATTATGTGGTATCAGTTCCTAGGGGGGTTATACTGAATTGTGCCGAATGTAAATAATGTAATGCAAAGAAATTTGAAGAAACAAAAAGATAGGGTTACAAATTGTCAGTCCCTAAGTCTGTATTCCATTGTTGAACTTTATATTATGGCTAGGAAAACACTGTTAATAGTATCTTGTGTTTTTGGAGTTGATTAGGCAAACAAGTTAAAGAAATCTAATTTTTATTATTAAGAAAAAATCAATGTTTTCTACCGTAAACCAATAATTAGTGGGAAGATAAGATAATGAATTTTAGTTTCCATGTGGTTTGCTTAGCCAAAGGAAGATAGAATAACGTGATTCAATCTTTAATAGTACAGTATTGAAGAAAAACATGCTCTCTCTTGGCAGACAAATTTGAATGAAACCCAGATTTGTAATTATGATTGTTATCCACCAAAGATTTGAAATTTAGTGACACTGATGGTACCAATAAGAAACTAATTTATTATAGCTTGGTTGAGTGAATTGTGCAAGATGATTTGAAGGGAAAATAAAGAAAATTGTGTGTCTACAAAGAACACAGATGGCACTATTTGTATGTGGATGGACAGTTAGGCATGTACATGAAGATACAAATGGTTTTGTATGCCTCCATACCGAGAGGCCAGGGTGTAACAAGTGTTCGTCTCTCCAGTTTCTCTAGGTTAACAGCTCTGTTCATATTAGTTACTAATCGACCTTGGTAGATCTGTGGACTGCTTGTACAAAAATTAAGAACAAATTAAAATAAAAATCATGCAAATTCTGAATTTAGTTTTGATGTTTGACAAACATTTTTAGTCTTTTGATTTTAGAGTTTGACAGAAAATGTAGATATCTTGATATTTTTGTTTACCTTTGAATATATATTTTATTTTATGAAAATTTGGTGTGTTTCTCTGTGTCATCTCAGACATGCTTATTTGGTTTTATAGTAATAGTGTAGGTATGTAGGTAATTTTTTTTATGAATGACAGTATTTGTTTTTACATCTTTAGGGTGTACGGTACTTAAATTGTGCATGGTATTTAGAGGTAATTGAGCTTTGGTGATAGATCTGCTTAAAATGATAGAATTTCATTGATATTAATATACATTAATTTATCAGTTATCCATATTCAGATTATATTTTGAGAAGCCGTGTCCAAAATGACAACCAGTCATGGCAAATGTTATGCCGTCATTAGACAGCATAAAGTTACATTGTACAGTATTAGATTATTGAAATTGCATTTCTCCACGTCAGATACTGCATGTAGGATGTTCAACATACTATGTTATGTAAGACTTCTGGTTTTGTGCCTGTATAATAAAGTATAAAATATTTGAAGCAGTTGGTGATACATGAACTGTATTTAATTTCTTAATGCCGAGTACATGTATCAGAGCTGCAGTACAGCATGCAAATAAAGTGCGGTATCTTCTGTCTCTGACAGCTTTTTTTTATATATATAATTTTCTTAATGAGAATGCTATTTGTGTAATGTCAATAGTAAATTAAAATACTTTGTGTTATTTTAATAGCTCCTGCTCACCAGCACAAAAAGAATACAAATTTAAGTGTTTATGAACCTCCATGCTGATTTGTGTAAGGAATGGTTAGCAGTAGTAGCATCTATTGTCACTTCTTTCAACCTCCGCTCTTTATTTTATTCACAAACTACTGTATACGATATGCTTTCTTTGTCAGAAACAGCACTAATATTAGTGCTGTACTACTCTGCCAGTGGCTTCCCTCCCCGCCCATGACCAAGTTTAATAATTCTGCCTAATCATCCACTGTGCGGAAGTTCCTCTTACCCTTATCTGATGTACCAATATGCTGTCATATTGCAACATATGTCTTCAACTTTCAAATAAGAAAAATATTTGTGGAAATTACTTTGTAATCAACTGATCTGTATTTCATTGTGTTCCCTGCTGGAATCCTAACTTTTTTTTTTTTTTAGAAATCCAAATTTTTTAAGGAAATTCAGACTAGTGAGTTTGGTCAGTTATTTAAGGTGGTGTATGGATTTGGGAGCGTACACTGTACTGATAATTTATATATTTCCAAGTTAAACTAAGATAAACATGGCCACCATTCCTCTACACTGTTAACATCATGACCAAGGGTTCTGGGAGGCAGATGTTGATTTAGGTTTTGCTATTAGCAAGGCTGTCAAAAAGTAAATACAGTAAAAGTGAAGCTAGAAAAAATTATCAGTAAATAAGGAAAACCAAAGTATGAGGAGTGAAGTGGAGGAAAAGGCCAGGTTCTGGCTGGCCAATCTGAACTCCACGGCTGATACAACCTAGAGTTGGGAGCCATCTCATCGAGATGACTTCAGGAAGCAACGAGGCCCGCCCCTCCCCCCCAGAAAGGATTCACACGGCCGAAACTTTATTACCTAGAAATTGTCTTGCAATCTCATGACTGGGGAGTCCAGAGAAAAGTGCAAATCCACGCATTGTAATTTTCTCGGGTACATCGCTATTGTGATTTCATCGTGCAATTTCATCATTATCACTGAAGGATGTGTAGCTCTACCAAATTTAATAATACTGCATACTTGCTGAAGTAATACACATCAAACTTTCAACTTTTATTTTGCATGTATTAGGAACAACTTACAAATTTAATTACGGTGCGTTTGTATGTGCTATGTTTCACCACTGTGGATCTGCAACAAAAGGAGCAAATCAATGAGTTTATGGTATAGTTTGTGTTTAAAACACACACTGAACCAGTACTAGTCCTGAAAATGTTCTAAATTTATATAAACGACATGCCAATAGGTATAAGCAACAATTCTACAGTGCAGTATATTAAAAATATTTATGGATTAAAAAAACAAAAATTCTATGAAACTTTCAAGACTTGACCAAAGTGAGCAAATGAATTGTAAAATTTATTGCTGATAAAAAGCTACATAAAAATAGGGGACTAAAGACAGTCTACATGAAAAAGGCAAACTATGAAATTTTGTTAAGAAAATCTAAAAACAGAAAGGAATCCGAGTGATTGTACTTGACAATCACCAGAAAATTATATAAATACTGTACAATAGTGATAAAATCATCTTATATGACATTAGGATAGCTTTTAAGTACAGTATATAGATGGTGTAAAAAAAAAAAAAAAAAATCTTTGGAGGGGTGGGGGATGATAGCCGAGTGGACAGCGCTCGGGGTTCGTAATCCTAAGAGTCTGGGGTTTGATCCTCAGTGGAGGCGGAAACAAATAGGCAGTTGCTTTCACCCTGATGCCCCTGCTCACCTAGCAGTAAATAGGTACCTGGAAGTTAGACAGCTGCTACAGGCTGCTTCCTGTAGATGTATTCATCTAGTTGTGCTTGTGGGGGTTGAGCTCTGCTCTTTCAACCTGCCTCTCAACTGTTATTAACTACTAATAATTCCTCCCCCCCCCCCAGGAAGCAGCCCATAACAGCTGTCTAACTCCCAGGTACCTATTTACTGCTAGGTAAAAGAAACTGCCCATTTCGTTTCTGCCATCACCAGGGATTGTATCTGGACCCCAAGATTACGAGTCCAGAGCACTGTCTACTTGGCTATCAGGCCTCCATGTGTAATTACCTAAGTGTAGTTACAGGATGAGAGCTACGCTCGTGGTGTCCCGTCTACCCAGCACTCTATCATATAACACAAAACATAACACACAACGTGTGTGTGCGTGTGAAAATTAGGATTAAGGACTTGCCCAAAATGCTGTGCATGCTACTGGTCGTTCAAGAATGTAAGAAATTCTGTATATACTATACTATATTTTCAGTATTTATTTAACAAAAAAAAAAAATGGAATACAGTGGAGCCTAACTCCAGTGGAATCAGTTTCATGAAAAAATCTGGATGCAGTCGAATCAACTACTTTCAGTAGCAAAAACTGGTCGAGGTTTGTTAAATCAGCAAATGTAGGAAATTTCCAGGTCATGTGTGACTGGACCAAAACTTATTGAGCTATGCCAATCAGAAATACAGTACAATCAAGTACTTTACACCAATGAAAACCCAGGTTAGTGAGAAATGAAATAGTATATTCTTAAGTGGCCGCTCGGTTCTTCACTGAAGCAAAGATCTCGGCCGCCTAAAGATAGGATCAGACACTCCCAGGCAACTATACTGTACTGTATAAATATTTACTATCACAGCGAGGAACTTCACAAATACCCCAACCAGATGTTGACCAGACCACACACTAGAAGTTGAAGGGATGACGACGTTTCAGTCCGTCCTGGACCATTCTCAAGTCGATTGGACGGACCGAAAGTCCGGTCATTCTCAAATGTTTCGGTCAGTCCGGACCATTCTCAAGTCACAATCGACTTGAGAATGGTCCAGGACGGACCGAAACGTCGTCGTCCCTTCAACTTCTAGTGTGTGGTCTGGTCAACATACTTCAGCCACGTTATTGTGACTCATCGCCTGCACCCCAACCAGATGGCTATTGGAAGACACAAGATTACTCCATCCAGTTCAGAATAACCACTAGAAGGTAGAAAGTACATTCAATTACACTATGCAGACTTACAAGACTCCTGCAAACAATACTCACAGGGATTGTTAAAACATCTTTGCTAAAATGCAAGTTAGATTATCTGTCCACTACCTCAAACTGCCCCTATATGGGAGCACATTACCTGTTAACAAGGTCATAGGTAGCAGCTCTCAGGAAAATTTGAAAAAGCATTTCCATCAAAGAAACTATACACAACTGGCTAAAGCTTGGAGACTATACAAGAGTAGTTGAAGTGTGCGATGTCAATGATTTACGTTACAGGAATTTAACAGGAGCAGACTGTCAGGAGTCCAGTATTTTTAGTCATGTGGTGATAAAGTCACAGATAAAATACAGATAGTATTTAACACTTAGGTCTATGCTGACACTATACATTACATTCAGTTGTAAAACACTTCCTACAATAGTATTGGTCTGGTGTGTTCAAATTTTGCTGCCGCTGACCACATGCACTCAAGTATTTATGGGCATCTGTCAATTTGCAATATTTAAAAGAATTACTGTATGCAGTAACTCAAATGTATTTTTTCCATTAGAAATTACTTTAATATTGTTATTGTATTGAAATTTACAAGAAAATAACACAGGCAGCCAAAGATTTGTGTGGGCATGTTATAAGGTAAAGTACTGTACATAGAATATTTCATAAATATGCAGATTGAGACCAGATTAAACTTCAGAATTACTACAGTATTGTTAAAAAAAAGGCTATACGGTATTAATGTATCACTGCACACCCCAACCACTCTGGAAGTCATTTTGTGCTGAAGTTGTTGAATTTGTGGCTGTAAAGTACTGGTAGTGGAAGCATTAAATATTTATAAACAATTTGGACTCTTAGAAATACAGTATCTAAAACCTGTCTTAAATTTTACCATGTACTGTACCTTTTAAGTTTGATTTGTACAGTTTTTGTTTACACATACATTCAACACAAAAATAATCAGATTTTGTTTTCAATTGCACACTTAAGGTCCAAAGCCATGTATTGACTGGCAGAAAGCCTTCAACACTTACACACAAGAGGCACCTCCATAAACTTGAATAACAAGCTCGAGTAACTGCAAGCAAGTTGGCCCTAGCGACACGATAAATGATCCAACTGCAAGCAAAGGGTAGTAACGAGACTGGACAGATCAGAATGGAGGGAAGCAGAGAACCAATGAAATCGGTACTAGGACTCGCATGGTATCTGATAATGTCAATACCATATTTTTGGAACATGGAGCTTCCGTGCCAGTGCTTGCTAACGATGCAAAATTGAAGAGACTAGTCAGAAAAAAGGGATTGGAAAATGCTCCATGTGGACCTGGAGAAATTTAGAAAGAGTCCAAGAAATAGCAGTTCAACTGTAACTGAAGCAAATGCAAGATGGTGCGATTTAGGACATGGGTCAGCACAAGATAATGGGAGAACAAATACTAGAGTTGGAGAAGAAAATGGATCTTAAAAGTACACAAAACTTCAAGTTTATTATTGGGGGACATATTAACAGGACAATATTAGTAAACCATATATAATGCAGATAAACAACTTATGTTTATCATAGCAGATATGCAACTTTCAAGAACAAATAAGCTTTCAGGACATTTGTATACTACTTATGCTAGATCAGTGCTAAATTTAGCCCCAGTGTTGAATCCACACCTAAACTGCATAAAAACACAATTAGTGACAACCCAGAGGTTTGCTACGAGACTAGTCACTGAACTTAGAGGGATGAACTACAAGGAAACTAGCTAAGGGCTAAGGAAACTAGCCCTCACCTCAATGGAAAAAAAAGAGAAGGGTATAACGAGTCCACATGATCATAATATAACAATTTTAGAGGCTTTGATCTATGTATATAAAAAAATAGTTTTCCATAAAAATGATATGATGAGATGACATGGGAAGTAACAGGGAATGTAAGAAAGTACCTATATAGGCCAATAAACTTTATTCAGTTCAATTTACTTTTATGTTCAAGGGAAATGAGCTAAAAGGGGAAATAATGGAGGTGAATTTCATACATAGTTACAAGATTAGGTATACACAGCAAGAGGGGGCAAGAGCCACTGTAATAGGCAACAAGCAATTAATGATGAGGGGGGGCCCCAGTAGCTGAAGCTTGCTCTATATGCACTTACAGGAAAGTACAGGTGCAACAACCACTAAGGCAGCCGGTCGGCCGAGCGGACAGCACGCGGGACTTGTAATCCTGTGGTCCTGGGTTCGATCCCAGGCGCCGGCGAGAAACAATGGGCAGAGTTTCTTTCACCCTATGCCCCTGTTACCTAGCAGTAAAATAGGCACCTGGGTGTTAGTCAGCTGTCACGGGCTGCTTCCTGGGGGTGGAGGCCTGGTCGAGGACCGGGCCGCGGGGACACTAAAGCCCCGAAATCATCTCAAGATAACCTCAAGAAGGCACCACACCATCCACCTCATAAATAACAAACAGACCAGACACCAACACATGTGCAAGAAGCACCCAAGTTACTACACCATCCACCTCGTGTTGTACACCAGGGCCCAACACCTGAGCAACAACCTTCACATTATTCAACTTGCTTGAGAATTCCTTTCTACTCACTCTTAGATAGATTGATTTAGATATTTTATTCAGGTAAAGGTACATATATTGAAGATGAGCTACAAACAATGTTGGATTTAACGATAGAGCTAGTACATACAATACCTAAAGCCTCTAATATGCATAGCATTTCGGGCAAACGTATAGTTAATATTGTATAATACCTATTCTTATTTAACTATTAATTAAAAAAGATTATACTAGTGTATTTTTTGTTTTTTAAATATTTGGAGTATGACAATTGGGACATTAATTCCTGTACGTACCACATTAGCAATTTCTACCCAATCCATGGCCTGCTGGAACCTATCCCCACGAGAAGGTTCTCGATCCCAGTTCCAAAAGGTGAACTTTTCAAACTGACATATTGCTCTCATTGTACGGTCATCATCAGAATTTAAACTGGGTCTTGTTTCCTTCAGTACTACTCCAGTATATCCATCGGGGACATCCATCACACAGCCTTGAAGTGGATATCCTCGGAATGTTCCTGTTAAGCCTGAAAAATGCCATAGAATGCTTACAACAGCATTAGCGGAAAAACACTATTTTTGTTTTTGATTCACGTTGAATTCTTAGTTTCCACACCTTCCTTCAAAGCTAATTACTTTGCTTACCAGTATACTTTATTTTGTAACCAATATGATTGTTGTTATTCACCCACTGTACAAAACTTGTTATATCCTTTAATACAAAACAAATGTGTATTGTCAAAAGTGTTTACATTTTAATCCATTTGTTGTCATGGACACTGAGGTACAGCCTTAGACCAGAACAATCTTTGACTGTGAAAACTACCATATGGTATATGAAGTACTTAACCCAGATCCTGAAAAGTATCACATAACCATTAGATCTCAACACTGCCACCACCTATAGTTACATTACCAATAAAGTAAATATACCTGTACTTTTCTATTTTGTTCCAATCAATAAAGGTACTACTGTATATTATGAACATTAAAAATAAACAAAAATGTCCTCCCTCACATAGTCACACTCTCAGCATCACTAATATCTCCCACTTTCATAGTACAGTAAAGTACACAAAACATTATTCTAAACCTAACTGTTTAGAATATGAAATATTATACAGTGTTTGGTACTAAGATCACCAAAAATCGTCTATAAGTACTTGAGCATCACTCACTGTTCAGCAAGATAAAACTACAACACCCATTTCCAATATCCTGGAAAACTAAGTCTCCAGACATCTTAGTGCCAATCTTTAGGTGTTAAGATATACAGAGTATCAATTATTTGCAAGGGAATTTAATCAGAATAAGCCCAGCCATGTACTGTATATTACGGTCTATATTTTAACTCCCTTCATTTCCATACTACAGTACTGTATCAGGAAACACTCCTAGAATAACAGCTTTGGTTATGGATATTTGGGATGCCAGATATTTCAACATTTGACAGATTGTTTGGAATCACCAAGTGTTAAGATCTGTTTTACGATACGGTGGCTGGGTGTCGGTACTCTTTCGTTTGGAAACGAACAATTCAGAGACACCCATAGTCAGTAACTCATTTCTCGGCAACCACTGGAAATAAGTTAATAAAAAGTTGGAACCACTACTATTTACTGTAGTTTTAAAAGTTGCATTGGTCATGTAAAAACTTAATAGGGCCACTATGTGTATTTCTAAACCTTACAGCTTTCATTTTTATTTTTGGAATTCATGTATTCTTAGGTTAACTTAGGTTAGGTTAGGTTAGTTTGGGACAGAATAGAAGAGGATAAGATTGGTCAGGCAATGACAATATTAGATTAGGTTAGGTTCATTATAATGAGGTCAATCAGTGATCCAAGCCTTTATAACCCTACCACTCTGGTAGTGGTACTCTATAACTCAACCAGATTATACAAGGTTACATGTGTAAAATGTTTTATGAAGGGAATATCTGGGAAAAAGGGAATATACTTTAAGCAATATTCAACAGATATATATAAATGTATATATTAATTTAGGTCTAATATTGCCAGGAAAATCTTTACAATATATGGTAATATAAACCATTATTGGTGCCAGGAAGCGTGCCGTTGGCCCCTCTAGGGAAGGGCGAGGATGGTTGACTGGTCACCCAGCCAGTTACTGGCTACACCAAACAGTGCTTAACCTGACTCAGTGAGTGACCACACACTAGTGATCTATACAGGGACCAATACACAGGCCCCTGGGTCACTGTGCTCACGATAACTGATAACTTGATAACTGTAACGAAACTAATTTGACTGGGAATGGACAGAGGTCACTTCGTACACAAGATGGTTTACCAACAGATTTTAATACCTACCTAATCCAACATAGGTTCATCTAGTCTAACCTAATAACATATAAAGTTTAAATAATTAAACTATAATGTAGTAACGCCTGTATGTTGACCGTCCTGGATTACCCAGTGGAAAAAAAACTTACATTTCTTCTGACTCTCGTCAATTGCCACTTGTTCTGTAACATAGGTCGTGAAGAACTTGTCCACTGGAGCGTCTCCATCGTAGCTAATGTTACAGGGAATATATTGGATGTGTGAGCTGTGGGTCTCCTTCAAGGCCTCTCCCTTCAAGTCGAGTTTTACCGCCATGTTTCCCAGCCAATGGTCGCTTACCCTCCGTCTACACTCTTCTTCTTATTATTAAAGAAAACGGAGGATTGTAAAAGGAGTTAATTTCCAAACAGGGTTGTATAAATAAATCTTATCTTATCTTTGCATTCAATTTTGTACGGTAATTTTTCAAACTTAAAATGTAAATAGCTATATATATATACCCCCTCTAAATGAAAAATGACCTAATTTAACATATGTGCTAAAAATATTAACATAAATAATTCGTTTGTTAGATAACAAGATATTCATAGCAATAAGGTTTCTTGGAATGGCCTATAATGCACGCAAATACTAGTTTACGCACTTTTCGGGTAGTACGCCTGGAATTTCAAAATGGCGTTCAAACGGCGGTTGGTCGTTGAAGGTTCAGCTGGTCAGTACCGTCGGTGCCGCCGACGCGACAACATGTACCGCTGATTTGCGACATCAGCAACATTGCTCCAGGTAAGAGTGATAATTCTTTTTGACATATTTATATCTTATATATACACAGTATATAGAATTATATAATATAATGGGGTTTCACGTATGGAGTTTGCTTCGAACAATGACTATCAATGTTAGTTTAGTTCGTTTATTATGCACCCCATACCCATCTTGTGGGCTACCTTGAGGTGCTTCTATGTTGGACTTGAAACCTATACTAGGTTTGTTGTTGGACTAGGCTTGTTGGACTTGAAACCGTTGTTCCTTGTTTGTGTTCCATCTGACCTTTTGAAGTTGTTCTCTGGATCCATATCTTCGAAACTGTTCAATATTTTAATAGGCAGGCGATGAGTCACAATAACGTGGCTGAAGTATGTTGACCAGACCACACACTAGAAGTTGAAGGGACGACGAGTTTCGGTCCGTCCTGGACCATTCTCAAGTCGATTCAAGTCGATATTTTAATAGTTTCGGTGAGATCCATCCTGGCATGCCTAGTTTGCAGTGTTGTTAGCCCTGTGACCCTCAACCGTTCATGGTATGAAACTAGACCTCATTCTGCAATTATTTTTGTCGCCTGGTGTTCAATTTTCTGCATGAAAGGTTGGGCGCGGGGTGGGTTCTCTGTCGGGCTCCAAGTGGGTTCTCTGTCGGGCTCCAAGTGGGTTCTCTGTCGGGCTCCAAGTGGGTTCTCTGTCGGGCTCCAAGTGGGTTCTCTGTCGGGCTCCAAGTGGGTTCTCTGTCGGGCTCCAAGTGGGTTCTCTGTCGGGCCCCAAGTGGGTTCTCTGTCGGGCCCCAAGTGGGTTCTCTGTCGGGCCCCAAGTGGGTTCTCTGTCGGGCCCCAAGTGGGTTCTCTGTCGGGCCCCAAGTGGGTTCTCTGTCGGGCCCCAAGTGGGTTCTCTGTCGGGCCCCAAGTGGGTTCTCTGTCGGGCCCCAAGTGGGTTCTCTGTCGGGCCCCAAGTGGGTTCTCTGTCGGGCCCCAAGTGGGTTCTCTGTCGGGCCCCAAGTGGGTTCTCTGTCGGGCCCCAAGTGGGTTCTCTGTCGGGCCCCAAGTGGGTTCTCTGTCGGGCCCCAAGTGGGTTCTCTGTCGGGCCCCAAGTGGGTTCTCTGTCGGGCCCCAAGTGGGTTCTCTGTCGGGCCCCAAGTGGGTTCTCTGTCGGGCCCCAAGTGGGTTCTCTGTCGGGGCTCCGGGGTGGGTTGTCGGTCGGGGCTCCGGGGTGGGTTGTCGGTCGGGGCTCCGGGGTGGGTTGTCGGTCGGGGCTCCGGGGTGGGTTGTCGGTCGGGGCTCCGGGGTGGGTTGTCGGTCGGGGCTCCGGGGTGGGTTGTCGGTCGGGGCTCCGGGGTGGGTTGTCGGTCGGGGCTCTGGGGTGGGTTGTCGGTCGGGGCTCCGGGGTGGGTTGTCGGTCGGGGCTCCGGGGTGGGTTGTCGGTCGGGGCTCCGGGGTGGGTTGTCGGTCGGGGCTCCGGGGTGGGTTGTCGGTCGGGGCTCCGGGGTGGGTTGTCGGTCGGGGCTCCGGGGTGGGTTGTCGGTCGGGGCTCCGGGGTGGGTTGTCGGTCGGGGCTCCGGGGTGGGTTGTCGGTCGGGGCTCCGGGGTGGGTTGTCGGTCGGGGCTCCGGGGTGGGTTGTCGGTCGGGGCTCCGGGGTGGGTTGTCGGTCGGGGCTCCGGGGTGGGTTGTCGGTCGGGGCTCCGGGGTGGGTTGTCGGACGGGGCTCCGGGCAGGCTTTAGGTACTCAACTGGCGGGCTCTGGGTGGGTGACTGTTCGGGCTCCAGGTGGGTGTCTGTCCGGCTTCGGGTGGGTTCTTGGTAGGGCTTGGGGGGTGTGGGTTCTTGGTAGGGCTTGGGGGGGTGTGGGTTCTTGGTAGGGCTTGGGGGGGTGTGGGTTCTTGGTAGGACTTGGGGGGGGGGTTCTTGGTAGGGCTTGGGGGGGTGTGGGTTCTTGGTAGGGCTTGGGGGGCTGTGGGTTCTTGGTAGGGCTTGGGGGGCTGTGGGTATTTGGTAGGGCTTGGGGGGGTGTGGGTACTTGGTAGGGCTTGGGGGGGTGTGGGTACTTGGTAGGGCTTGGGGGGGGTGTGGGTTCTTGGTAGGGCTTGGGGGAGTGTGGGTTCTTGGTAGGGCTTGGGGGGGGTGTGGGTTCTTGGTAGGGCTGGGGGGGTGTGGGTTCTTGGTAGGGGGGGGGGGGGGGGGGGGGTTCTTGGTAGGGCTCGGGGGGGTGTGGGTTCTTGGTAGGGCTCGGGGGGGGGGGGTGTGGGTCCTTGGTAGGGCTCGGGGAGGTGTGGGTTCTTGGTAGGGCTCGGGGGGTGTGGGTTCTTGGTAGGGCTCGGGGGGGTGTGGGTTCTTGGTAGGGCTCGGGGGGGTGTGGGTTCTTGGTAGGGCTCGGGGGGGTGTGGGTTCTTGGTAGGGCTCGGGGGGGTGTGGGTTCTTGGTAGGGCTCGGGGGGGGGTTGGGTTCTCTGTAGGGCTCGGGGTGGGTTCTTGGTAGGGCTCTGGGTGGGTTCTTGGTAGGGCTCGGGGGGGTTGGGTTCTCTGTAGGGCTCGGGGTGGGTTCTTGGTAGGGCTCGGGGTGGGTTCTCGGTAGGTCTCGGGGCGGGCTCCAGGTACTCAACTGACGGGTTCCAGTTCACTCAACTGGCGGGCTCCGGTTCACTCAACTGGCGGGCTCCGGTTTACTAAACTGGCGGGCTCCGGGTGTTTGACTGGTCGGGCTCCGGGTGGGTGACTGTTCGGGCTCCAGGTGGGTGTCTGTCCGGCTTCGGGTGGGTTCTCGGTAGGGCTTGGGGGTGGGTTCTCGGTAGGGCTTGGGGTGGGTTCTCGGTAGGGCTTGGGGGTGGGTTCTCGGTAGGGCTTGGGGCTGAGTTCTCGGTAGGGCTTGGGGCTGAGTTCTCGGTAGGGTTTGGGGCTGAGTTCTCGGTAGGGCTTGGGGCTGCATGGGTTCTCGGTAGGGCTTGGGGCTGGGTTCTCGGTAGGGCTTGGGGCTGGGTTCTCGGTAGGGCTTGGGGGGTGGGTTCTCGGTAGGGCTTGGGGGTGGGTTCTTGGTAGGGCTTGGGGGGTGGGTTCTCGGTAGGGCTCGGGGTGGGCTCTTTCGGGATCGGGATAGGCTCTCGGGCTTGGGGAACCTCTGTAGGGCTCGGGGTAGGTTCTTGGTCGGGCTCAGGGTGGGTTCTCGGTAGGGCTCGGGGCTGGCTCCAGGTACTCAACTGACGGGTTCCAGTTCACTCAACTGGCGGGCTCCGGTTCACTCAACTGGCGGGCTCCGGTTTACTAAACTGGCGGGCTCCGGGTGTTTGACTGGTCGGGCTCCGGGTGGGTGACTGTTCGGGCTCCAGGTGGGTGTCTGTCCAGCTTCGGGTGGGTTCTTGGTAGGGCTTGGGGTGGGTTCTTGGTAGGTATTAGGGCAGGGTTCTTGGTAGGGCTTGGGGGTGGGTTTTTGGTAGGGCTTGGGGGTGGGTTCTTGGTAGGGCTTGGGGGTGGGTTCTTGGTAGGGTTTGGGGTTGGCTCCCGGTCAGGCTCGGGGTGGGCTCTTTCGGATCGGGATAGGCTCTTGGGCTTGGGGAACCTCTGTAGGGCTCGGGGTAGGTTCTTGGTCGGGCTCAGGGTGGGTTCTCGGTAGGGCTCGGGGCAGGCTCCAGGTACTCAACTGACGGGTTCCAGTTCACTCAACTGGCGGGCTCCGGTTCACTCATCTGGCGGGCTCCGGTTTACTAAACTGGCGGGCTCCGGGTGTTTGACTGGTCGGGCTCCGGGTGGGTGACTGTTTGGGCTCCAGGTGGGTGTCTGTCCGGCTTCGGGTGGGTCCTTGGTAGGGCTTGGGGTGGGTTCTTGGTAGGTATTGGGGCTGGGTTCTTCGTAGGGCTTTGGGCTGGGTTCTCGGTAGGGCTTTGGGCTGGGTTCTCGGTAGGGCTTGGGGGTGGGTTCTCGGTAGGGTTTGGGGGTGGGTTCTCGGTAGGGCTTGGGGGGGTGGGTTCTCGGTAGGGCTTGGGGGAGTGGGTTCTCGGTAGGGCTTGGGGGGGGGGTTCTCGGTAGGGCTTGGGGGGGTGGGTTCTCGGTAGGGCTTGGGGGGGGTGGGTTCTCGGTAGGGCTGGGGGGGGGTGGGTTCTCGGTAGGGCTTGGGGGGATGGGTTCTCGGTAGGGCTTGGGGGGGTGGGTTCTCGGTAGGGCTTGGGGGGGTGGGTTCTCGGTAGGGCTTGGGGGGTGGGTTCTCGGTAGGGGTCGGGGTGGGCTCTTTTGGGATCGGGATAGGCTCTCGGGCTTGAGGAACCTCTGTAGGGCTCGGGGTAGGTTCTTGGTCGGGCTCAGGGTGGGTTCTCGGTAGGGCTCGGGGCGGGCTCCAGGTACTCAACTGACGGGTTCCGGTTCACTCAACTGGCGGGCTCCGGTTCACTCAACTGGCGGGCTCCGGTTTACTAAACTGGCGGGCTCCGGGTGTTTGACTGGTCGGGCTCCGGGTGGGTGACTGTTCGGGCTCCAGGTGGGTGTCTGTCCAGCTTCAGGTGGGTTCTTGGTAGGGCTTGGGGTGGGTTCTTGGTAGGTATTAGGGCTGGGTTCTTGGTAGGGCTTGGGGGTGGGTTTTGGTAGGGCTTGGGGGGTGGGTTCTCGGT